GTCTTTCACAAGACACCGGTGCTTTCTCTCTCCATCACAGTGGGCGGCATCAAATGACAAGTCAATTTTAGGTTCACCAAACTCGACTTCACCAAACTCGGGTGTGGTTTGCAGTGTCTCACCTGGCCTTCCGGACTTGGCATGACTTGGCGGCTTCGAGACAACAAGCAGCTCAATTGCATCTTCAAGAACTGAGTTAAATGGATGGCCAAGTTGCTTGAACTGACCAAATGATACCTTGAGCTTTGTCACAAGTAGGGCGCAGTGAAACGCTAAGTTTCAAGTGCTGGTCATCCAGTGTCAGTGGTCAACCGGCCCTCAACCATCCGCTAGGAGGCCTTTTGAAAGATGCGGCGAGAACGATAAGCTAATTGTAATTCGTCTAACTTCCAAAAAAGCCACACTGGAGAATAAACGGCAAACCAAGTGGATGGGATTACTATGTTTGGCAAACAGGAATCTAGGCATACTGAAGCCTATTGCGTGATCAGTTCATCCTTTTGGGGACTGGAACAAATGAATAGCTGGTACCACCAACGATTTCTGGGCTACTTGGACACACAGCGGATTGGGTTCTTCTTTCCCTACGGATGTTTTTTGACTTTCGGCGACAAGTTGCCATAATACAATCTCACCTTCATCAAAAAATACTGATGCAAGGGCACAGCGCCCCAAAGCGATGTTCCAAGCTGGTCGGCGAGTCCTATTGCTGAGATCTTTTACAATCATTGCTTCTTGCAAACGACTGCTACTTTTCGCTTTGTCTAAAGACGTCTGAAGTGCTATAGTCATTACTTCACTCAACATTCAACATCATCGGTTCCTGTCCTTCGGACCTAAGCAGGCACGGAAATACCCAGGATCCAAGAGTGACCCCCTTGGGTCGGCCAGGGCCGTGTCTTGCTTCATCGCCTCTCTGGTTCGACTGGTTCGATGTCGGCCGTATCTATCGGGCCACGCGTAAGACACATAGCATGCTCGGGCCATGCGGGGGATACAACCATGCGAACAGCACATGGACGATGCTTTGCCTCGATGAACAGCACACACTTGTCATGTTGGTCCAGTAGAGTGCAGGCAGGATGGGCACATAGACGATAGGTGTGACTTGCACACAACGATAGGTCAAAGGTGCTATTGGCATCACACTGCGTTTCCCGGTGCATCACTGAGGAGCTTGGGCTCCTATTCATGGCTAGTCCTGGCTATTCACGTGGTTGTTCACGTGGTTGTTCATGGTGCTGGGTCATGGAGCGACATTGAACTATCTCACAGATACCTTCGCTCTATGCACCGTGTGACATCAAGGCGGCCACTGAGAGCGAGATCCTTAGTGTACCATCGTGGAAACCGGTGCGCAGTGGGTTGGCAAAGATGCTGAGGCAGTCTGAAACAGCTTAAGTGATAATCTCTGAAGAGCGAAAAACTTGAACACGTGAAATCACCTCGCAGAAATGTCAGGGTGAACATCGGTAAACATTGCAGGTTTGCAGCAGCTTTCACAGGAGAAACTCTATGAAGCCAGGGTGACTCAACTGCAGGCCCAGTAGGCCCCACTAGCCCACAAGCGACAAGCGAGTATATGGCTTCGCCTGGGAGCAAGAGAACTTTGGGGAACAACTTGACACAATTCCAACTGAGACTGTCTGTGAAATCATGTGAAATCGAAACATCTTACATGCTCCAACAATGGTGAGAGACTTTGATGCCAAAAAGCACCGCAAGTAACGCAAAATGACGATTTAGGGTCCCATAAGGGTTCTGAAAATCGTCTAGACCTAAATCCATCGGTTCATCATTTTCACCATTAAATCCATTTTTGGGAGTATCCCCTGGTTATCAGACACATCCATCAGCCGTTTTCGACCAAGGCCAGCAAGGCCAGCAAGGCCAGCAAGGCCGTTTGCTCGGCCTAGAGCAGCTCGATGGCAGGAGACACAAGGAAGCTGCTGGCCTCTGATGAACAAGGGACTCTTTTTCACGCAAAACAAGATATGACCACAGGCACGCACACATATATATATATACACACCTACATCTTGCCATGTATATATCTAAAGTAGGTCTGTACATCTGTATGGATATGGACATATGGACATCCGGTACATATCCATCCGGTCCAAAGTAGTCGAAAGCCTCGGCCTGCATTGCGCGAGGAGCTGCTTCACTCAAGCGGCAATCCTGGGCGTCAATGGACGGTATAAATCGAGGTATATCCTACATGTGATTTAACTATAGTGATATATAAACATAGTGATATATACATAATACTATAGGTCAATCACATTGGTATACCATATAGCTATAGTGTTCATCAATGTGATTTAACTCTGGCAAACGTACAATCAGTTTGCTGTTGAAGCCATGGCCATCTATAGTTTATTTATCCATCTAAAAATGGTGATTTCCCGTAGCTATGTTAGTTTACCGGAGGGTAAGGGATGGCCAGAAAGTCTATCACATGTTTTGACCATGGCAAAGATGTTTCGAAAATTCCTCTCTCTCTCTGATAGTAGTGGTCATACTCCCATAAAAACATGTACCCCCCCCAAATAAACATAGACCCTGCCATTTTTCGGGGTGTAGAAGATTACTCTCCACTAAATATTGGTTATTTTCAGGGTGTATGTCATTGTTGGGGAGCATTATGAAAGCTTTTTGAATATCATTGATTTGTTTACTCGAACACTTGCTGCTTCACTTGATGTTATGCTTGGGCGACATCAGGCGTCTAGATTCTCCTATTGAGCGTCATGAAGATGTGGCTGATGAACTGTTCAACCTGAACCCATGCGTTAAAACTGGAATCTCAAACATCGAGATTTCCTAATTTCAGACTGGGAGCACAGAGAAATGCATCTCTTGAGACCTTTCATGAAGCATCCGATCAAAGGCCATCTTAGGCTGCGCTATCCAAAAGCCACAGGTGCTGGGGGAGTGGCGAACAACATTCGCAGCCAACCGGCCCAACGGCGCTCGGGCATGAAATGTTGGCAAGAAAATTACGTACTTCACCGGTCATGATTCATTGCAAAGAGGAAATGAAGAACTGCGGGAACATGAAGAGCTTTGGTTGATCAAATCACCAATCGAACAAACCTGCCTCTGCAGACTACTGAGACAAACAAAACATACCAGTCATGTCTCGATGCAAAATCCGTTCCATGATTGGCCCTGCATCACTGCTCTGAAATGCCCGAACAGCCTTGCTGGAATATAGGATGGTGTCTCTGGTATGTCTCAACATTCACATATGGAGGTTTCCAAAGTCATGGGGCTACCCTTAGTTATCATCCATTTTCATAGAATTTTCCGTGAAATAAACCAGCTGGGGTCCCCCATTTATGGAACCACATATCACCGCGGCCGGGCCACAAGCAAAAGCCATCGGCTTTTTGGAGTTCCAGTCGTCGAGCCAGCAGCAAGTCCGGCATGCCACCTGGAACCGGGGCAACCGGGGCAACTACCAATCAGATACCCAGTTATATCAGTAGTCAAACCTGGCAATTGAACATCCCCACATAAAAAAAAATGATTTGCCCAACCCCGCATTGATGCTTTTTAAAGTGCAAGGCTTCATGAAACCACGATTTGAACCACGAGAAATCGAGGTGAATCTACATGACTCCCATGTGGAGTCGTCTGTCTGGATACAGACAAGTTGACTGCCGCAAAATACTTGGCGCCAACAAGCCTTGGGATAATGATGGGATAATGATGTTTAATAGGGTTCCATGTTTTGTATTGAATGATGCTCCAGTCCCTATTCGCTGTTGTTTTTTTTTGATTTTCCAACATTCCAGCCATAGACAAACTATCGTTTCTTAATGCCGTTTTTTTGGGTGACTGTAGACCACACCCAAGCGTTTCCACAACATCTTAGTTTCTTTATTTTCACCATTTGGCAAGTCTTTAAACGTACGGTATACCCCTTGTCATCTCATCGTTTTTCATTATGTTCACATTATCACCACAAATTTGGAATGCATCCGGTAATTTTATATTGAAAAATCAGATCTTGATCAGCGGGTCTTTTAATCTCACAAAATTCAACCATCATCTCATTGCAAACCAAGCTATTCATTGGACCACACCATATTGTTGCTTATTCCCAGCAGTGCCTGCTGAAAAAAAGTTGGGCCCGTTCGATAACTTCGCTTCCATCCCATGAAGTCCTCGTGGTATTCATGCAAACCATGCTTCGTTTTTGTGAATCCCCACTTGATTTTTGCCATTCAGATCATTCACCCGGGCAGTGCCTGGAACCACGGCACAATCAACGACCATGGCGTTTCGCGCGCGCAGCGAGATCCACAATGGGGAGATGGTTTTCCGTCGCCGTCGATCATGGGATGGGGATATCAGCTTGATATATTTCATCAGATTTCATCAGATTTCATCAGGTTTCGTCAGATAATCATATATCCCAACATGGAGTTTAGTGGGTTTTCAGCAACATACATAGGGATTGGTGATAACTGATGGAGATTTATTGATGATTGGTTGGTTGAATTGGGATACTACTTATATAACCATCAATCGAAAGGGATTTGATGGGCATAAAATCGACCAAGGGAATATATATATATATAATCGGGATATGTACTGGAGATATTTGGTGGAGAAAGAATAAGAATCCATGTTTGGGACATCCCGAATATATGGGAACAAATAAAAATCACGAAAGCATGCCTAAAACATGGACTACACCATCACAAACACCAAACCATTCGGGGTAATTTTGAACGAACAAAGCTGACATATATGCATGGATGGATTCACAAATTTTGGGGAGCATGGATTACTTTGGACTCCGATCAAAACATCACTCTTTCATCCTATCGGTTCCAGCACTACCTGAAAATGAGCCCACGTGGCTCAGCCAAAAAGGACATGTATTTTTCACAGCAAACGCTCCAAAAAGGTGGGATCATGTGGAATTGGAATCGCTTCTGCTTTCAGACACTTTCAGCATCTCTCAGGCGGTCCGATGAAGTTCGTCACTGCAACACGTGGCCACAGCAGCGGGAGATCAGCCTGGCCACTTTTGACGTAAAATCAGCAGATGATTTTGAAATGCTCCGATGTGAAGGAAAAGAATGATCGACAAGCCAGAGTAGACTTGAAATCAATAAATGCAAAGGCACACACCCAAATCCCTGTGATATAGTATCGCGGTCCTGTGCACAAAAGTAGGAACGGACCACAATCGATTTTTCCACGGAAATCTCAAGTTTGTCCCACGCAGAAAAGCGAGCTGCTTTAAACTCATGCTTTCGGAAAGGGTGAAATTCCTACACATGGCTTTTCCATTGAACCATGATGTCATCTGGTTGGTGGTTTTAACCACCTTGAAAAATATGAAAGTCAATAGGAAGGATTATCCCATATACTATGGAACATAAAATTCATGTTCCAAACCACCAACCAGTCATCATTGTCCCAATTATCATCTGGTTGGTGGTTGACCTACCATAAAAAGAAACCCATACATATATAGATATTATAACATACACACACATATATATATGGGTAAATTATCATCCAGACATGCGTGAAATCCGGCCATGCGCCTGACGCATTTCCGCTCTTCGTCCAAGATCAAGTCCTGAGGTGGACATCTAGCGATCCCATGGGATCCTCTGCAGAATGGTAGTGAAATACCGTGGTGTTTACCATGGGATGTTCCGTAGAAATATATGGAAAATATACGGAACATCATAGCCATCCTTACATGGAAAAACCATCTATAAATGGGTTTCAATAGCTATGGCTATGTTAGCTTACTGGAGGGTAACAATCATCCTCAATATTACCATGGATGGGATTTCAACAATCTCCACATGGATCCAAACAATTTTGGGGAGAAGTCAGACATGGGCTTCAATTCAACCATAACAACTGTGACTACTAGGATTCGGTCCAAACAAAATGTTGGAGAAAGGAACTTGAAAGCTTGAACTAGGTGGTTCACCATGACATGGAGATACAGATATGACTATTTCCCTGCTAAAATGAATCAACGTTTTAAAAAACAAAAACATACATAGACGGTCTAAAATTATACAATCGTATGCATACATGGGAAATCATACATATTTCGTTGAAACCTAACCCAGTCTACATCTATATCCATATCCTACATCTACATATCCACACACACACATGTGTATATATATATATATATAAATATATATGTAATACACTATACATATTTTACACCGTATGTAAAAAACATATTGTTATATACATATGTATCACATGTACATGTCTATGTGTTTCATTTAATAAGCCGTTGTTTTCCAGTATCATTATTCCTATTTCACTAGTCAAATCCTTGGTGCAAATCGTGCTCATGGTAAATTTCACCGAGGATGGTTCAGTCCACAACTGCTTCCCATCTGAGCCATATAACTCCCCAAAATTCCCGTCCCAAAACATCATCTAAACATAGATTTCCCAGAAGTTTCCCCTAAAACCTCCGTTGAACTTCCCAGGATTTCTCAACCGCTGAAACACCACCGAGCGGCGCCGCCCTCGTTGGCGCCGCAGCCTGGACACAGACCATCGCCCAAGAAGTGCTCCTGGAGTGGTGAAACTCTTGGTGAAACATGGGAACTTCAAGTTTTTCTGCGTTTTAATATGTTAAAAACCAGCTTTCTTCATATCATGATCCATTTTTTGATGATTTTTGGCCATGATATTAGCAACACTTTTTGGCGAAATCACTGGAGTTTGGGGCTTATAATGGGACGATTACGATGGATTGCGGTGAGACCTCAATGGATCAAAGGTGAGGTATGGTCATGGTACAGCCTAGAATTGAAATTTCGAAACGTTGCGGCATGCTGAGATGGTGGTACTTCCCGATGGTCACTACATGCATCTTTTTTCACCCCTAACTTGTGACTACTCCCGTCCTTGATTTTTCAATAACACATGTACTTGCAAGGAACAAATCATAAAGCAACGGGTAGAATCCTCCCAGAATAGAAAGGTCAATTCGACTACTTAGACAATTGGGTTATCAGCCAATTCCACAAGATAATAACCTATAAATGGTTCAATTCACCAATAAGGATTGGATAAGCCATCGAGCAATATCAGATAATTCACTAACTCATAGTTCATTAAAATTATTCATTGACGCTACTGTAAATCACGGTTGAATAATCCATTAACCAGTATTACTGGGTTGACATCAATGGATTTCACTAGCGATTGTCATTGATTGTCAACAGTATCAAAACTATCCACAGCTCAATTCGCTATAAAACAATGCAATATTGTTGATAATCGCTTAGTGGGTTTTGTTAACTAATAATTACTGGTTAATGGTCAATGATGACTTTTGGTAAAATTCTTACTTTCATGATTCAGGACTAGTTGATAAATATGGTGAAAAACAAACAAAACACAAACAGTTGGTAACTACTGTGGTAAGTGGTCAAATATTTGGTAGTAAATCCAAAACATATTCAATATTATATTATAACTGGTATAATATTTAACCAAACAAAATAAATTATCAACAACTAAATCCATGCATATCATTGGTAAAATCCAATTGTCTAACCATCCAAAATTATACAACTAGTATTACAACCATTGTAAATCCAATTGCCATCAGTATTACTAATATGGTTACTAGAACCCAATTGTCATACTTATCATCAATTATCAGTTGATTATACCAATCATATTAGTTGGTACTGATTGGTGTTCTTAGGATTAGTGATAATCATTCTTCTAATGGGCAATTGGATTTTACAACGATGCATTATTTGGAAAACTATTATAACAATAATATTTGAAAATTCACTATTGGATTATCGGATATTGACTCTTCACAATACTAGTCGGATTCAACTAGTATATATATATATATATTATTATTGGATCAGATTAGAATATTCACCACTTTCCAGGAAATAAACCATCCAGCTATTGGGGTACACCCAGTTTGGGAAACCCTAAAATGGCACGCCTCCAGTGCTTGGCTGGGCTCTTGGAAGGCCGGTGCCAAGGGCGGAAGCACTTGGAGCTGCTGATGTTGCGCCAGCGCCACCTGGAAATCCGCTGCAAAAAACCAGGGACCCTGGTCATTTTGCGCAGAAAATTGGGATTTCACTGATTTCACCATGAAAAAGTAGGGCCGTGACTGACTTAAGCTACAAACATAAGGTATGAAACTGGCCAAAAGCAAAAACAGGTCATTAAACTTGTCATCTCAGCAAGAAGAAAAGGGGCCATGAAACCAAAACATGATAGAAGGGCTCAGTTCTGACAATGCATGCGGATGTAACCAGCATTTTGGGGGTTCACCCAAGGGCAAGGAGGATTGACCAAGCAGCTGCCAACAAACTCTGGTACCCCTGGGGACGTTTGGGGGGCGCCAAGACCCAACAGCAGCTAGCCATTTGCAAGGAAATCGGGGGGATATAACCGAAGGAAGTTTAGAAGTCAAACTTCCGACAATATGGACAGATGGAAAAGCAGAGGTGGGAAGAGTCAGAGAGGAGAAGAGCAGAGGATAGAAGATCAGAGAGAGAAAGGGTCAGAAGAAAGAAGATGCACAAAAAGGTAGAAAAGTCGCGATTCACTATGTTTTTCCGATGATATTGTGGCTGCGGAGGGTCGAAAAGTAGGCTCGCTAAAGCAGCGGGTGCGGAGCAATCTGGCCAGATGAGAGATGAAAAATTGCCCGCCGTCGTGGTGCGAAGCACATTTGCAAGTTGCAAGTAAAAAAACAAAGGACCGGACAACCCCACAAGGCAACTTCTTCCAACAATAAGCACCACATGTTGTAGCGGGGTCGGGGAAGGAAGGAAAGACAAAGTGGGTGGTGGAGGATCAAGAAGTAAAACAAAGCTGTGGGTGACAAAGTTGTATGTGAAAGATGGTGTGTGACAAAGAAAGATGGTGTGTGACAAAGAAAGATGGTGTGTGACAAAGAAAAGATGGTGTGTGACAAAGATGAGTGTGAAAGATGGTGTGTGAAAGACGGTGTGTGACAAAGATGTGTGTGAAAGATGGTGTGTGACAAAGATGGTGTGTGACAAAGATGTGTGTGACAAAGTCGTGTGTCAAAGATGGTGTGTGACAAAGTCGTGTGCGAAAGATGGTGAGTGACAAAGTTGTGTGTGAAAGATGGTGTGTGACAAAGTGGTGTGTGAAAGATGGTGTGTGACAAAGTGGTGTGTGAAAGTTGGGTGTGAACGATGGTGTGTGAAAGATGGTGTGTGACAAAGTGGTGTGTCTAAGATGGTATTGGACAAAGATGGTGTGTGAAAGATGTGTGTGACAGAGGGTGTGTGACAAAGTTGTGTGTGAAAGATGGTGTGGTGAAAGATGGTGTGTGACAAAGTGGTGTGTGAAGGATGGTGTGGTGAAAGATGGTGTGAGACAAAGTTGGTGTGTGACAAAGATGGTGTGTGAAAGATGGTGTGTGAAAGATGGTGTGTGACAAAGTTGTGTGTGAAAGATGATGTGTGACAAAGTCGTGTGTCAAAGATGGTGGGTGACAATGTGGTGTGTGAAAGATGGTGTGTGAAAGATGGTGTGTGACAAAGATGGTGCGTGAAAGAGTCTCGGGTGACACCAGAGCCAGCCCAGCGCCATAAGTGCCACGCCTGCCACGCAAAACGAAGGTGGACGTCACCAAGTGCCACGCCTGCCACGCAAAGTGCCGCGGCGTCACCGGCGACTAAAACCGGCCCAAGCGCGCCACCAGAGCCAGCCCAGTGCCATACGTGCCACGCCTGCCACACAAAACGAAGGTGGATGTGACCAAGTACCACGCCTGCCACGCGAAACGAAGGTGGATGTCACCAAGTGCCACGCTTGCCACGCAAAGTGCCGCGGCGTCACCGGCGACTAAAACCGGCCCAAGCGCGCCACCAGAGCCAGCCCAGTGCCACAAGTGCCACGCCTGCCACGCAAAACGAAGGTGGATGTGACCAAGCGCCACGCCTGCCACGCGAAACGAAGGTGGATGTCACCAAGTGCCACGCCTGCCATTCAAAGTGCCGCGGCGTCACCGGCGACTAAAACCGGCCCAAGCGCGCCACCAGAGCCAGCCCAGTGCCAAAAGTGCCACGCCTGCCACGCAAAACGAAGGTGGATGTGACCAAGTGCCACGCCTGCCACGCGAAACGAAGATGGATGTCACCAAGTGCCACGATGGTGTGTGACAAAGATGGTGTGACAAAGATGGTGTGTGACAAAGATGCGTGTGAAAGATGGTGTGTGAAAGATGGGGTGTGACAAATGACAGAGGGTGTGTGGCAAAGTTGTGTGTGAAAGATGGTTTGCGACAAAGATGGTGTGTGAAAGATGTGTGTGACAGAGGGTGTGTGACAAAGTTGTGTGTGAAAGATGGCGTGTGACAAAGTGGTGTGTGAGAGTTGGGTGTGACAAAGATGGTGTGTGACAAAGATGTGTGTGAAAAATGGTGTGTGAAAGATGGTGTGTGACAAAGTTATGCGTGAAAGATGGTGTGTGACAAAGATGGTGTGTGACAAAGATGTGTGTGACAAAGATGTGTGTGAAAGATGGTGTGTGAAAGATGGTGTGTGACAAAGATGGTGTGTGACAAAGATGTGTGTGACAAAGATGTGTGTGAAAGTTGGTGTGTGAAAGATGGTGTGTGACAAAGATGTGTGTGACAAAGTTGTGTGTGAAAGATGGTGTGCGACAAAGTTGTGTGTGAAAGATGGTGTGTGACAAAGATGGTGTGTGACAAAGATGTGTGCGAAAGATGGTGTGTGACAAAGAGGAGGCGGTGGAGGAGGAGGAGGAGGAGGCCGAGGAGCCGGGATACAGAATCAAAAACAAGAACCCCACACCAAGATGTGGCGAAAAACACCACACCTTCGGAGGTTAAGGGATCACTTAGAGCACCGGATCACTTAGAGCACCAGAGAATCATACCGGTCGGGTGGGGGGCGGGGTAATAACGTTCATGTTCCTGTGCACACACAGGCACAGCAACCTCATCATCTTTCTTGCTGTCCTGCAGACACAGGCACTGCTCTTTCATGATCAGATACCAGTGGGGTGGGGTGGGGTGGGGTTACTATTCCCAATATATGGAAAAATAAAAATGTTCCAAACCACCAACCAGACATGACATGTACAGTACACACACATATATATATAATATTTATATAAATATAGCTTAAACATTCAACCGTGTTTAACAAGTCCAATTTGATATCTTGATATGACCACAAATAACAGACATTCTTTGTCCAGCAAACTCTTCTTGAAGTAACTTGCAAGACGTACGTTGCAACATCTTCTTCAAGTAACTTGCCAGATGCTCCTGATACGTTGTAACATCGTCTTCAAGTAACTTGCAAGACGTTCCTGATACTTTTGAACAACTTCTTCAAGTAACATGCAAGACGTTCCTGATACGTTGTCAAATCTTCTTCAAGTAACATGCAAGACGTGCCTGCTACATTAAAACATCTTCTTCAAGTAACTTGCAAGATGTTCCTGATACATTGTAAATTTTTCTTCAAGTAACTTGCAAGATGTTCCTGATACGTCGTAACATCTTCTTCACGTAACTTGCAAGACGTTCCTGGTACGTTGTAGCATCTTCGTCAAGTAGCTTGCAAGACGTTCCTGATACGTTTCTTCGTCAAGTAACGCCGAAAAGCAGATCGCATCGAATGTTATTGCGTGCTTCAGCGACATATGAATGCATCCATTTATGTGTCTATATGCCTCTGCGCATATATGGAACTCTAGCGCTATGTATCACTTATGTCACTTTTCGGCGTTCCAAGCGATCCACTTTCCGGCACTCTAAGCGATCCACTTTTCGGCGCTCCAAGCGAACCCCCGACCACCTTCGGAGCACTTTTGGAAGTTGAGATGTCGAAACAAGTGCACGCCACTGTGGCGCGAAGCACATTTCGAAGTCAAAAGTGTAAAACACTGACGGTCTGGGACCAATTTTCGAAGTTGAGATGTTGAAAAAGTGATCGCCGTTGTGGCGCCAAGCACATTTCCAAGTCAAAATGTACAAAAAGACCACATGTCCGGACCACTTTTCGACGTTCCAATGTCGTTTCGCGTGGCAGGCGTAAGGGGTTGCGCACCTGGTCAAAAATCAGCAAATGCGAGGGCTTTGTAGCAGCTTCAACTACAATCATTACACTACACTACACTCCGCTACACTCAATTACACGACACTACTCGATTACACGACACCACACTACACTACCCTACATTACATTGCACTACACTCATTACACCACAAATGCAACTGCAACTACACTACACTAATTGCGCTACACCGCAGCTACCACTCCATTACACCACAGCTACAACTACAGCTGCACCACACCACACTACATCCAGCAGTTGTGGGTGAGGTGACCGACCAGGTGACCACTGCAACCGTTGCAACCACTCCAAGTAACACAACTCCAACCACCTTTCAGTCCATCAGAGGATTCGCTCTGCCATCCGTGATTCACAACAACCAAGCTCTCCTAGAGATTTCCTATTCTGAAACTTCAGCCACCGCCTTGTGCGGTGCTACTGGTATGATTATATCATATTTAAAATCGCATTATGGATCATTATGGCACTATGGCACCTCCCACATTGAGGATTCATTGAGCATTGACATTTGAGCAGTGTTCAGAGCCGCGTGTCGTTGCTTTGTAGGTTCAGCACAGGACTCCCCGTTCATGGATTGTTCCTTAAAATACTGCCAAATTTATCCCAAACTCATCACCAACGGTTTCGCACAACGACATCTCAACTCTTCCCACGGCTGTGGAACTGAGCTTGGTGGAAGGGGGTACCCTTCTCCCCAAGATTTCACGGTTGATTTCTCATCAATGTGTGAGCAAATTGCTTTCAAGCTAGTTATAAAACATTAACATGTCATAAATCCCAATTTTCCATTGACCCAAAAAGCTCTGCCCATTCCGCATTTTCCCCATTTTCCCCATTTCCGGAGCCCGAAATTTCATCCCCGCCTGCATCCTCTGCAAGGCTCCCAGGCGCTGAGTTTCAGTCTGCAACTGGGGGTGCCAGAAGCGGATCAACCTCGTTGCAGCGTTCTAAAGCGATGAAACATCCTGAAAAATGGTTGTGCATGGCAAACACAAAATGCTATGGTACATGATGCACACATATATATAATACATTATATTACAATAATAAATGATTCACGATATATGATACAAGCATATACAAGCATGATATATGACATATGGCACATGGCACATGACATATGATATGATACAACTTGATATAATGTGATGTGATGTAATATGAAATAGTTTTGACGTACTATGATTACCAGGTCCCATATTGATATTGAATAATAATGACACATGACATGCAAAAGAATCTCATCCCAGAATTGGGCATTTGGTCATTTTTGCACCAACAACTGTGCCATTCCGATGCGCGTGGGTTTGCAGTGGAGGTCATGCGATAACCCCCATGAGAGGCTGCATGGTGAGGGAAACTGCAATCACCTCATCTGGCCAAACATTGACATCCAGGGTACCTCCCCATGAGGTATTTCAACAGTACCAGCTGGTTATGAGTAACATCGCCATGGAAAGATCCACCATGCTATTAAGAACGGTAAACCATCTATTTCTATGGGCCATCTATACCATGGCTATGTTTAACCAGAGGGTAGATCTCTAATGGGCCGACTCTTGCATCAAAATCTTCACGTCAGCTTTGAGACTGGGACAGAACGACGCGAGTGGAGGGGCTGCGATTACACACCTGCTACCGTGGGCCCGGCCCATCATTCCATGATTTTAATTCCATGAGGCTGGAATGAGCGAAATGAACACCAATTTGATGAAAGGATACAACTATGCTGAAATTTAAAATATTACAATTTATAGTCATATATAGTAATAAACTATCAATTTGATCTTTGTTGAAAGGACATGGAGCGATCACAGCCATGCTTTCAATGTCCGCTCCACGCGGGACTGGGTTCCACTTTTTAGACAAAATCGAACCAGGGAAAATGCTTCACTCTATCAGTGTCGGCCATTCACAAAGATGAACCGTCAGCTAATCAGATCAGAATAGCCTTCAAAACACAATTTCATTTTGATGTCATGCGAATCACTGGTGAATCCCATTGGAGGTGTCGTGGCGCAGACTCAGCATGGCCTCATGCTCAAAGGAGTCGTCGAAAATCATCACTTTGTCCGGCTGCCAGCCTCATTTGCTAAGGAAAGCTTCAAAGCTGCAAGTCCAATCATGAACTTGCCTGAAAATCGGGCACACTTCAAGAGGATTTTCATTATTTCTAGAAATTGGGAACAACCATGAGTGATCCATATGGCCTTATCATTGCCATGGCTAATGTGCTGAAGCCCGTGGTCATCCCAGGCTGCCAGAAGGTTTTTGGATCACGAAATGGGGGTTTCCTGAAAGTCATGGGGGTACCCCAATAGCACGCTGGATGGTGTTCATGGAGAATTCCATCTAGAAATGGATGATTTTTAGGGGTAGCCCTATGACTTAAGACCCAAAGTCATCATGGTTTCTCGTTGGATTTTCCGTTGCAGGATGGCCTAAATCAACATATTGGTCACCTGGTGAAGCACCAAATCCATGGTCTTGTTTAATCCTGTTTTGGTATAATGACATATACATATACATAATTAAATATATATATATATATATATCATTATGGCAACTGCATATTGTATATGTATATAAATGGGTAAATGACCTACTTTTTTACATTATTCAATATTTCAGCATACATTATATGCACCCAACTTCTGTGTCGTGTCTCCGCGCATCTCCATTCTTCGCCCACTCGAATTCCACACAGGAACGGGTCACCTGGGCCCGAGGGAGTCGTATATCTCTAGCATTCAATGGGGGTACCCCAACATGGTTGGTTCATAATGGGGAATCCTACTAAAATGGATGCTTTACCCAATGGGTTGGTTTTCACGGGATTGAAACCGGAAAGCCTCTTGATCATAATGGGAAAATCTATGGCTTCCGGTTTCAATTTTCCTGTGAAAACCAATCCATTGAACCATGTAATTCTGATGTGTCCAAGTCCGCTCTACTACCTTCAGAGCAACTGCTTTTTGCTGCACTTGCGTCAAAACTTTGCTTCGTTGGAGCGTGTGGCTGTGTGTAACCATGGGACACAATAATTGGGAATTTCACCATCACACATAGGATTCAACGAGAATAACGAGATTTCATTCGAGATATAATGGGATGTAATAATGGGATGTAATATCCGGATGTAACGGCAGGCAACGTTCAGTTTCCAGTTTCATCCACATTGGATTTTATTCTGAATACAGCAACGTCCAGCACAGTGTGGGACCCAACATGGTGATTTACCCATCGACCAATATGGAACCAAACTGGGATTCGCAAGTGATGTTGTTCGGGCTCAGTCTATAACCACTACAGCAACCAGAAACATTAACCATATATGGCAATATATATATATATGATCTATGGCGGCTATGGGTCAAAGCTGTGCCCAGAAATGGGGTCAAAATCGACAGCGACGGTCTTGATTCTCCTTTAACAAAGTTGGCGAGGAACGAACGAGTCATGGAATGATCAACTCGATCCCATCGCTCGACACATCGTCCCATCCACGCCTGTCGGAATCAGCAAGCCCAAATGAGCGGTCAATCGATGGTTCGCCTTGGCAAAACTCAAGGGACTGACTTGGAACGCCTCCATCGGGGACTTCAAATCGCCCAAAACTCGAGTCATCTGGATGGGTCTTTCACCAACTCAAAGCCTAAGTGCCTCCCTCTGAATCTCCCAAACTTCAAAAAAAAACAAACCGTACCAAAGGCTACATTTCCCAAGTCAAATCAATCAGCTATGGGCCCGTAAAAATGGCAAGACCCGAAAAATTGGATGCCCTTGGCCACTTTGCGGTTGCTCGAGAATTTACCATGGCTCTGAGGCAACACTGCACGTCAGGTCTCCCTTAAAAAAATCAGGAGCCAAGCGATCCACTGCAACTCATCACCCAGTTGCAATTTGTGCCAAAACAACGGTATTCCCAGCGCGGCCAGTTGTGAGATGAGACACACCAAAACTGGCGCCTGGCTTGTGGAAACAAAACCAGGTCGTCCACGTAGATATCCAGGAAACTGTTCGCAGTTCCGACATCTGATGCCACATGAGCACCCAGGAGGTCGTATTCAGCCCCACATATTGCCTCTGAAAAAGTGTCTTGATGTTTCCCAGGGGTGGAATGACGAATGCATCATTACTTTCCAAACTTAGATACCAAGTATTCTTGCATCCAACTGGTTAGATGTGGCTGGCTATATCCATATTTTTATGGGTGAAACTCCCAATGTTGGCTTGGTTTGTTTTCAATCCAACACCTTTGCATCAGAGGAAAACTGATACCAACACACACATGTGATCAGCATAGCACCAGCTAGTATCACCCCATATTCACTGGTGATACTCATATTTTTGGGAATCACAACATGTCCATAGACATAGCATGACATAGCATTACCCCAATCGAGATCGTCACTATGGGAACTGTGAAAACACCAGTTCATGGTTAACACCAGTTCATGGTTAACACCAGTTCATGGTTAACACCAGTTCATGGTTAACCAAGTCTTAGCTACCAGTTTTGTTTCCATTTGTTTGAAAATCCGGTGGGTACAATCTTTCTTTTGCCATCTTTTGCCCGTAAGCCCGGATTTTTCGAAATGTCCACTCTCAGCTTGCCTGAGCACTATTTGCATTTGAGGAATGAAATCACCACTTTTGATATTCACCTTAAACAAAAATGAATATCAAACCACCACGGATGAGGGCATGTTTACCAGTTTCCAGTATCCAGCATCAATTTACAATTGTAAATATTGTCCACCAGACAGTTTGTTGGATGATTTAATTACAATGATTGTTAATTTACAATGGGATAACTTTGAACCAATGACATTATTTTGCTGGAACATCCACCATTTAAATTTATAGAAAAATACCGTTAAGGACCTTCAATCTGGTAGGGGGCTTCCCGGCCAGCCATGATTCATGGCACCGAAGGGTAAATCTATTCCTAGCATATTTCTTTTATCCAAGTAGGACCGCGCAAGGCGGTGGCGGAAGTTTCAAAGATAGGAGGCTAAAGCAAAGGTGAGTTGTTGTGATGCATAGATGGCAGAACAAACCGACTGATGGACCAAAAGGTGGTTGATGCTCTGAGTATTTTTTCCCTCTCTCTCTCTCTCTTCATCTCTCTGTTTCTCTATCTATCTCTATCTCCCTTTCTATTTCTCCCTATTTCTCTCTATCTCTCTAGCTATCTATCTGTCTGTCTGTCTATCTACCTATCTCGCTATCTCTCCTTATCTCTATCTCTATCTGTCCATCCATCCATCGATCTATCCATCCACTGCATTTTTCTATCCATCCATATACTGCATTTATCTATCTATCTATCTGAAAGGAAACAATTCTGCGAGACTTCGTGCAAAAGTGGAAGTTGACAGGTTCAAAACGAAGCAATTCTGCGAAACTTTCCCGAAGAATAACGGTTCTCAGCTTCAAAACGATGACTGCTCTCACCACTGTTGCTGCATCTGTACGTCGGAAATTTGACTTCTAAGCTTCGGCCATTATTATCACACCAATATCTCATGATTGTCCCCATTAGACCATATCAAAAGGATGAGAATACGATATTGTCCCCAATTCCCTATCAATGCAATTTAAAAAGATTCAGTGGGATATTAAATGGTTTTATCGAGTACCATGGGATATTAGCGGGATAAGTTGGTTTATAAACCCCATTAGCTAGTTCGTTATATTCCCCATAAACCGGAACGTTTGGGAGCCTCACCTTTTTTGATAATGGGAGAATTGTCATCCATCAATATCAGTCAATATTGATGATTACCCTCTGGTAAACTAACATAGCTATTGAAAATGGCCATAGAAATAGTGATTTTTCCCATTAAAAATGGTTATTTTCCATAGTTATGTTATTTTACCAGAGGGTATCCCTCGATATCAATCAATATCTGGTGTTATCCCACCAATAATCCATCAATAATATCCACTACTACCCAATAAACAATCCATCAATATTCATCAAACACCCACTTGAATACGATCATATCAATATAGAGATATATAAATCCATCATGGCTTTTAACACTTGGCCACTAATCAGATTATGAAATAAAACACTCGTTAGAGCCATCAAATCCCAGAACAACAATACCACCAGTGACGTATATTTAACACATTCCATATACATGCAATATCTATTTCATATCTATATATATATATACACACATATATATATATACATATATACGTACATAATTATATATATATGTACGTATATATATATATATAAGATGAAATTCATGAAATCTCAGATTTTTTCCTGGGCTCCCAGGCTCTAGCACAATGCGGCGCCACCTCCGTATGAGGTGCCAGCGCCGAGAGGATCACTTCGCCAGCGCCTGCCTGGACGAGCTTCGAATGTCGCCATTGAAATGAAGGGAATCGGGGAGAAAAAATGTAGAAAATCTAGGAAAATGATGGATAAAATTGTAAAATATAGGAAAATGATAGGAAAATGATAGGAAAATGATGGAAAATGGCCAAGTGATGCCACATCTTAAATGGTTTTTCTTAGATAATCAATGTAGAACGTAGTAACAGATATAGGAATAGTTAGTGGCGATCATATATGGCCAAATATGAACATATTATGGGAACATGACTGATGTTTGATATTGCTTCCAGCACACAAGTGAAGTTCACCGATTTTCCTTGTACTTTGAGTTGGATGTATCAGGACTAAAGGCTCAGTAAGTGGGGATGGCATACACTGAATCACTAGGAAAGAAGTGGGAACTATCTTGTTTAATTACTCACATATATATATATACAAACATATATATATATATATTTATACATATATATATATATGTATATATCTCAGGAATCATCCCAGTATATCATCGAGAAAAATGGGTGGAAATAGGGGGGATTTCAAACAAACATCTAAATGACCTCATTCGGTTGGAAAGTTTTACCATCCTCACATGAGCACGGAAAACGGATGGTTGGCCGTACAATGACTCTAATTTTGGTGATGGTGATGTTTGGTTTGCATATCAAATTCGACCAGTGTATCGTACAAAAACGATGGATTTCCCAATTCCAAACTATGCTACCTATCTATGAGTTTGAATGTCCTTTTGCCCTTCGAAAAATTGTGGACTTTGCAAAATGGTGAAGTGCCATGTGTGTCTGACAAAGGAATAACCGATAAGTTGAGCTGGAGGATTCTGGTCCGCGCGAATTGTGCGTCGATAAATAAAGAGAAGCTTTCAATCACAAGACTTTGAGATTTCAGATCCAACCCGCAAGGCACCCCAAATGCGACCCCAACACCATGTCCAGCCACTAACTAACCCACCAGGACACGCCCAAGAGCCACATGAGCGATATCGCTGCAAGACAACAGACAACAACAAAACTTGCTGCAGCAACCCACCAACTGCTTGCAACCGAAACTACACTAGAAGGCGCACAGAAACCAAGTAAAACTGTTGGATTGGGAGCCAGCACAAAATGTTTATCTTCTATGGGCATTTTTCACTTTTCTGACGAAGCATTGAAAGGTGCAAGGAAGAGGCGCGGCAAACCACGACTTGACCAACACATGCGCAGCAACCTTGAAGCGTTGCAGCGAAGTCCGCCAACCAAGAAAGCAATAAAGTAGCAAGAAGCGGCCGCAAGATTGAGCAAAATGAGGTTCCAAAACCAGGGCCTCAAAACAGGCAGTTTTGCGGTGACGCATGGGCGTACCCCCATAGTAGCAAGCATGATGTTGATTTTCCCATGCGTGAGACTTGACTGTGTATCTTCTGCAAGTAAAACATGTTTTGACTATGTTTGGTCTGCGAATCTATTCATGCTGTCTGTTTGAGCAATTTTGCCCGCCCAAGTTTCCCTTCCTTCTTTGGTTGAAGTTGTTGGTTTGTTGCACAATTGAATCCGATCGCCCAGCAGACCGCTGAATGAAGATCATGTAGACCTTGTTTGCATCTCCGTACAAATTTGGGGCCCCGGATTGCATTTTGGGGTCCTGATTTGGGTCATATTTTGGTCCCTGTTTCGGGTTCCATTTTTGGGCGCGGTTTTGGGGCCTTGGATTTTGTTTGTAATTGTAGGGGCCCAAAACGGTGCCCAAAAATGGAACCCGAAACAGGGACCAAAATATGACCCAAATCAGGACCCCAAAATGCAATCCGGGGCCCCACGTTTGTACGGAGACGCAAACAAGGACGTGTAGAGATGATCTTCATTCAACGGTCGGTCTGCTTGGCGATCTTATTCAATTGTGCAACAAACCAACAACTTCAACCAAAGAAGGAAGGGAAACTTGGGCGAGAAAAAATGCTCAAACAGAGAGCATGAATACATTCGCAGACCAAACATAGTCAAGACATGTTTTACTTGCAGAAGATACACAGTCAAGTCTCACGCATGGGAAAATCAACAGCATGCTTGCTACTGTATATATATATATATCTTTGAAAGGCACACATATATGAGGTACAAACACATGTTTTTTCTTCAAATGCAAAACACACACATATTACATTGTTAAACCAGGCTAATATAACCAATATATCAGCCAATATATTCATCAATATGTTATATTAACCAATATTAGCCAATATATTAGCCATATAATAGCCAATGTTGAATGCAGGGACGTGACTACAAAACAAATTGAGTGGGGCCCTGTCAACCCAGCCTCCGCCAATGACACGGCGTCGGGCAGCAAATTCCGAAGGATGTTCATCAAGGGTCGACAAATCTCATCCTGGGTGAATGTGGCATCAACATTTCAGTCCCAAATATATGGGGAAAACCATAGGAAAATGGTGATTAATGATGGTTAATAATGGTTAGTAATGGTTAATAATGGGTAATGATGGTTTATAGTGGTGAATCATTGGTATATTGGTGAATTAATGATGATTAGTGAGGATTAATGGTGAATATGGTTAATATATGATTAATGATCAATGACCATTTCAGGAACCGATTGATTGGAGGTACCTACCATATATAAGGCCTATGTAAGGGAATATCCCTAGAAAATATGTCTCGCAAGTGTGAGTTTATTCTGATAAATACCCTGGAACATCTTTATCAAACTTAATAACATACATCCTTTGTTAATGTAAAGCTTTGGAGGGTTTATCCACTCTCAGGGTCCGTGTTAAGAAGATACCGTCTATCATTCCATTCACATAAAATCTTGATTTCTATTTCCAATCTGGGTCTGCTTTGGAAACTTTCATTGGCTTTCATCCTTTAGCTGAGGTTCCCCTCGACCCACTGCCCGTTGCCTGGTTTTCGTGTCCATAGCCTTGGAAATTCAGCTGGTGCGAACTTGGAATCATAAGAAAACTCATGATTTCAACCAAGATTTTCTGCGGATAAACTTTCGGAACCCTGGTGAACTAATCTAGTTGTCACTCATAACTGGATTGAATCCGGGACTTGCGAGTTGTGAGTACTTTCCACACATGGTTGGGACAGTCATCCACTTGGTCAACCCTGGTGAACGACTGCTTGGGTCCCCACTTACTTGACAAGTACGCATGGTAAATGTAAGACACCTCCAATGTGGAACGGGGGTTTAAATATCCCTTCTGCAGGATAACACTAGATCCTGAATGGTAGATGAGGGGGGCCGGTTGGACACCTCTGGGCCCCAAGTGAGCAGGTTTGGCCAAGCTTTTCCATCTCAGGTGACGGAAACAAACATCCGAAAACAGCTGGGAAATCTGCTAAACTGCTACATTTTCTGTCCAAAAATCAGAATGGATGATGACTGGAAGCAGAAAACATGGTAGGTAGAAGTACCAACAAATTGGAGATATACCCCAGTTTCAGACATACCCAAATGGGTTGCCCCGGTTGGCCCCATGGTTTCACCCCATGAGTGGAACTTCCAACCATGAACCCACTGAGCCGCAGGGCCGAAGAGCACCACTTCATGCCAACTGCCTGTGGCGCAACATGACCCAAACTTTTGGCTTTGGATGGCCACAGGGTACCACAGGTATGATGGCCGTGATGGCCAGAGCCAGTCATCAAGGACCCAAGAGGAACACAATGCCATCAGAGGAAAACAAGGATGTCAAATTCAAAACAAGTCCACACACATTTGTTCGCGACCTTCAATTTTCACATTTGACATCATTTGACACCGCAAATTCCTAAGTTTGCTGGTCAAAATCCTCATCTTTGAGGTTGAACCATTTTTGTTTCTCAAATCAAAAAAGGTTCTGTACAGAAATCGGTCCATTTGGATGGGCAAGATCATGATCGGAGCACCAACATGTCACACTGTTGGTTGTATCCCATTCGGTCCCCGGTTGCCATTTTATCACCAGGATGATGGATATATATATATAATATTAAATATATGTATATAAACATATATATATATATATGTATATCTAAATATATATCTAAATATATATAGATATATATCTATATCTATATCTATCTATCTGTCTATCTACCTATCTACCTACCTACCTACCTATCTACCTATCTACCTATCTATCTATCTATCTAATTAATTAATCTATCTATCTATCTATCTATATCTAGCTATCTATCTATATCTAGCTATCTATCTATATCTAGCTATCTATCTAATTAATCTATCTATCTAATTAATCTATCTATCTAATTAATCTATCTGTCTAATTAATCTATCTATCTAATTAATCTATCTATCTAATTAATCTATCTATCTAATTAATCTATCTATCTAATTAATCCATCTATCTAATTAATCCATCTATCTAATGAATCTATCTATCTAATGAATCTATCTATCTAATGAATCTATCTATCTAATGAATCTATCTATCTAATGAATCTATCTATCTAATGAATCTATCTATCTAATGAATCTATCTATCTAATGAATCTATCTATCTAATGAATCTATCTATCTAATTAATCTATCTATCTAATTAATCTATCTATCTAATTAATCTATCTATCTAATTAATCTATCTATCTAATTAATCTCTCTATCTACCTATCTATCTATCCATCTATCTAAGTAGATTTTGGAACAAACTCCCTTCTAAAGAAGATTGTACCCACCCACTCCACTGAGCACAATCACTTAAAGATTGCCTCTGGTGAAGTGACGCGCTGGTCTTAAGGGTCACCAGCTGACATATGATATGCACACGGTGGAGAAAGCCATCATGAATGTCCACTTTTGATGTGGAAATTCAACTAGTCTATCTATCTAATTCATCTATCTATCTAATTAATCTATCTATCTAGTTAATCTATCTATCTAATTAATCTATCTATCTAATTAATCTATCTATCTTATTTATCTATCTATCTATCTATCTAGCCCCCGATGATATATTTCTATTGCTGATTTTTGATGGCTCATTAGATCAGTATTTCAAGAAATATTCCATTTTGGTGGTCAACCCTCCAGTAAACAAACATTTTCCCAATTCCAAACCACGATTTAGGCCACTGGGATCTCCCAGCCACGTTGACACCGGAGGGTATATCCATCAATAACATTACTGGTTGGTGGTTTCAACCCGTTTGAAAAATATGAAAGTCAGCTGGTATGCTTATTGCCAATATATGAAAAATGTTCCAAACCACCAACCGGATTACATTTGGGGATATCCAAGTTTGATTTCCCTATATATCCGTTAACACCGCATCATATCTTGGGATTTGCTTCAGGAACCTCCAAGAAACAACACACATATTTCCAAACAAAATTCCCCAATAGTGGATTTCCCAGTGGTAAAGTAAACAAAAAACATCCACTCATTTTGTCCCAATTATATCCCATTAATCAGTATAGATACCAATTATGTCCCAATTATCCCATTCTATATCCATTTCGCATATCCTTCGTTCTCCCATCCCATGTTTTCCAAAAATATCTCATAACTATCCAATACTTTTTGTAAATTACACATTTTTTCCACAAATTCCGTTTCGATAAATTCCTATAAATCCTATATGACATGATAATGACATCATATCAAACATAGTTCCCATAATTGGGACATTTTACTGCTCATGAAACCAAAAACATCATATCCCCAGGTGTCCCGATCTCCCGATCTTCTCGCCTTGCGTCACGGCTTCGCCGTCCTGCGATCCCGACAGACGATGTTCACCACCTGACTTGGGCTGGGCAGGGTGAAACAAAGATTTCTCCGAAACAGTGAAGCATCAATTTATTTTAATGGTGGGTTTATATGGTTTAATCTGCCAGCCTTCCGGCGTGTCTGATTAGAAGGTGTTGTTCCTGTTTCTGTTCTTGGCTTGTGTTTGTTTCTCAGTTCTCTTGCTACGCGTTTTTGATTCGTCTGAATCACCCCTCCCCCTCCCCCCACCCTCCCCCTTCTTCTTCTTCTTTTTACTTTGTCTTCTATTTTTACTTCTTCTTCTACTTCTTCTACTTCTTTTACCTCTACTACGACCTCTACTACCACTTCTACTACCTCTTTTTCTTCTTCTACTACTACTACTACGACGACGACGACTACTACTACTACTACTCCTCCTCCTCCTCCTACCCCTACTCCAACTGCTACTGCTTCTGCTTCTGCTACTACTGCTGCTGCTAGTACTAGGACGACTACTAGGACGACGACTACTACTACTCCTACTCCTAACTCCTACTCCCACCCGTGCTTCTACTCTCCTACTCTCCTACTATTACTCTTTCCTTCTCCCCCAAGTACTAAACTGGTTGCCGGTAGCTAGTGAAACTGTCTACAGTACCGGTACTAGTCACAGGACGTACACGGTACTAAACTGATCGACCGGTACTCATTTGGTATGAGGTCAAAGGTTCTTAAGGTAAGCACTTGCTAGTCAGGCTGCTTCTGATCTACTGCTCTGTCTTTGTCTCTTCTTCTACTTCTTCTCCTCTTCTCTTCTGCTTCTCTCTCCGACTTCATCGAACTCTGTTAGGGGGTGGAGGTCCAGAGACAAGCGTGAAGTGGGACTGTGGGATCGTCTGGGTGGCTGCCATATAGGGCACCTTTGCCCACAGCCTTCCAGATCTTCCCACCGAAGCTTGATGTACTTGCACTCTTGAAAGACCTTCAGGAGATTCTGCAATCCCTCTGCAGCTGATCGTTGCCACCTGCTTGTCACCACCTGCGGGGTCTGGATTGTAGCGAAGACACCAATAAGAAGTTGTCCCTTGCCGATCTTGTACAGTACTCTCGTCCATTCACAAACAGCGCAATGGAAAACCGTTGCGTCCGAGATCTCTTTTCCACATCCAAAAAAGCCAAAGGTTGGATACTGACTGGGCCATCTCCCTATGGCCGGGCTTGCTGCAGGCATGAAATATGGTTTGATAGGGATAATCATGCGACAAGAATGGGCTTATGGCTTTGCCACAGGGGCCACCAACCGTGAATGCGTGAAATCCGCCATAAACCCAACCGTGAACCAAGGCAAATGTGCATCAACTTAGCTATCGTTTGGGGGCCTTACCTTGTAAATATTTGTGACAACTAGTAAACATCTACATGCATGATATACAAGTAGGACCGCACAAGGCGGTGGCAGAAGTTGCAAGGATAGGACACTATAGGAGAGGCGAGTTGTTGTGATGCATGGATGGCACAGCGAATCCACTGATGGACCGGAAGGTGGTTGGAGTTGTGCTTTTTGGAGTGGTTTCAATGATTGTTGCAGTGGTCACCTCACCCACAACTCCTGGATGTAGTGTGGTGTAGGGCAGTAGTTGTAGTTGTAGTAGTAGTTGTAGTTGTAGTGGGGATGTTGTTGAAGTTGTAATGTTGTAGTTGTAGTGGTGGTTGCAGTTGTAGCTGTAGTTGAAGTTGTACTTGTCTTAATTGTAGTAATTGTAGTAGTTGCAATAGTTGTAGGAGTTGTAGTTGTAGTGGTACCTCTAGTTGTAATGTAGTTGTAGTTGTAGTGTAGTTGTAGTGGTAGTTGTAGTTGCAGTTGTAGTGTAGTGTCGTGGTAATTGTTGTTGTAGTAGTGTAGTTGAAGTTGAAGTTGTAGTTGAAGTGTAGTTGTAGTGTAGCTGAAGTTGTAGTTGTAGTTGCAGCTGTAGTTGCAGTTGTAGTTTAGTTGTAATAGTTGTTGCATTGGTAGTTGTAGTTGTAGTTGTAGTGGCACTTGAAATTGTAGCTGTAGTTGTAGTAATTGTAGTTGAGGTTGTAGTTGTAGTTGAAGTATAGTTGAAGTTGTAGTTGTGGTTGTAGCTGTAGTTCTTGTAAGTTGAAGTGTAGTTGATTTGTAGTTGTAGTTGTAGTTGTAGCCTAGTTGTAGTTGTAGTTGAATTTGAAGTTGTAATGTTGTGTAGTGCAGTTGCAGTTGCCTATCTATTGATCTGTCTTTCTATATATCTGTTTATCTCTTTGTCTTTCTGTTTATCTATCTTTCTATCTATCTATATCTGTCTATCTATCTATCTATCTGTCTGTCTGTCTGTCTGTCTGCCCGTCTGTCTGTCTATCTGTCTCTATCTATCTGTCTCGATCTATCTGTCTCGATCTATCTGTCTCGATCTATCTGTCTCGATCTATCTGTCTCGATCTATCTGTCTATCTATCTATCTATCTATCCATCCATCTATCTACCTGCAAGTTTGAAAACGCAGCTATTCTGCGAGACCTCCTCAATTTTTGAATTTGGCAACATCAGAAACGAAGCAATTCTGCAAGACTTCCTTCAAAAATGGAGAGTTGCTCCGAAGCTGAAGTGTTTTGTGCATTTTGACTTCCATATGTGCTTCGCGCCACAACGGCGTGCACTTTTTCAACATCTCAACTTCCAAAAGTGGTCCGACGTTGGTGTGTTTTGTACATTGTGACTTTGAAATGTGCTTCGCGCCACAACGGGGCGCAATTTTTCATCTCTCATATGACCACATGGCTCCGCACCCGCCGCTTTAGCGAGCCTACTTTTCGACCCTCCGGCCACAAATCATTAGAAAAACGCAGTGTTTCTCGACTTTCCTACCTTTTCCCGCACCTGAGTCTTCTTTCTTCTCACTCTTTCTCTTCTCTGATCTTCTCTCTTCTGCTCTTCTCCTCCCTGACTCTTGCCACTTCTGCTTTTCCATCTGTCCATATTGTCGGAAGTTTGACTTCTAAACTTCCTTCGATTAACAATTTGGAAAACATATATAGATATACCGAAATTTTAATAGTGGTTTCTTACAATTCTATTATCTAAACGCTTGAAAAGAAAGTACTGTCAAGTGGATCAGTTATCAATAAACCTAGAGCTAAGTAACGTTATTAGGTAATTTGAAGTTTCAATGTTATGTCATTTGATCACCGCAACAAACATTTCCACACGAACTGGGTTGCAGCCACATGAACTGTGACATCTTTTGCTTCAGCAAAGAATTTTTGGGCCTGCTGTAAATCAATGCCTGGACCTGTTGCCATGGCCTGTTGGGTCATCTTATCATGGGGCAGGCACCATGGCATCTTGGCATCTGGGCTGGTCGCAGATGCTGCACGGCGACTCCAACGTCTCCATATCCAGGTCACTCTCCTCAGGTACCCTAAACATCGGTCCTCTATTGATATCTTGATGGAGGTCCAGGATAGCAGTAGTTTCCCACATCGGCCGAAGGATCAATCTTTATGGCGTTCCATTTCTACCTCTTTCCCCGTGGCGATCCGTTGTGAAGCCTTTGGTATTCACAGTGGTGGTCGCGGATCAAATTCAACAAGTCATACGAATAATGGGGCCATACACAACCTGGTTGGTGGTATACCTACCCCTCTGAAAAATATTAGTCAGTTGGGATGATTATCCCATATATTATGGAACATAAAAAATGTTCCAAAGCACCAACCAGCAACCCTTTGCCCCCCAAAAAACATTTCTGTTGCTACTATCCCCCCCAAAATTTCATGATCTGTCTTGACATGAACATATTCAGAATCACCAAATACTGATTTATCAAAGCCCTTTCCATTTTTGATCATATCCATCATTTTTCGTTGGTTTTCATACCTTGTTGTATACACCCAGTCAGTTTTGGTTACCCTCTTGTAATCAAAATCCACTATTTAAGTCGATGATCTTCCTAGCTCGGAATCACCAATTGGGGGCCACGTTGGTATTTCCCACGTGTGATGACACCGCAGGGTATATCCATGAATACACCCATTACTATCCCATCATTATACCATTCTTATCCTTATCAAATCATATCTGGTTGGTGGTTTTAACCATCTTGAAAAATATGAGTTCGTCAATGGGAAGGATTATCCCATAATTATTATGGAACAAATCATGTTCCAAACCACCAACCAGAAATCAATGGCAATTTGCCCAGCCAGCCATCATTGGTCATTGGTAGCCCCCAAATGGTAACAGCTTCCATCCTTCCCAGCTAAGGTCCGCACCCACCATGGCCTCAGGCCGCGCTACAAAATGGGTTTTTGTTGGGATGTTGGTAGCTCCAAACACCATGCTAGTAAGAACGGTAAACCATCGATTTCGATTAGGGCCATCTATACCATGGTGTTAGTCATAACCAAAGGGTATATCAAAACGATGCAGTTCTTTTTTTTAAAATAGATTCTTCGCATCAAAAAAAAACTGCGAAGATCTCCTCGTTTGGTCGCATTTCCTTTTGCGAAGTCATGACTTTTCCAGGAGACTTCGCCAGGAACCGATCAATGAAGCAATACCCTCTGGTAAACTGTTACATAACTATGGAAAATCACCATGTTCAATGGGTAAATCCACTACAAATCACCATTTCAATAGCAAACTGTTAAATTACCAGAGGGTATTTGGTGAAGTGGGATCATGATCCGACTGGATGGAACAATACTAAACCAATCAAACCCATCACAAGCGATGCAACATCCCCCTTAAATGGTGGTCAATTCCTCATTCTTGTGGTAGACGCCTTTACTTGGTGAACATGGGTGAAACCTCCCACTCATCACAGTTTAAAATCCCATGTTTGCTTCTAAGAAACATTTGATATGTGTTTATAGCAACGCCCAAAAAGATAGAAAAGTACAATCCCACGAAAATAGCGATAAATCATTTTCCTTTTTTTTGGGGGAGGTTCTATAAATCTTCTCCGAAAAAAGAACTTCAACCATCAGCCCGTCGTCCAAAACGGGTTCTCGGACCCACGGTGGTTGAGGCCCACTGGCATGATGGAGCAAGGGCATCAGTGCCTGATGGGCAAATCGGGGGAAACAAGTTGGGTTTGTTGGGATTTTTCGTTCAATGGATTGACGTCTTATGGAAAAACAAAAAAACGGTTCCTAAGCTTATGGAAAAACATTTTTCTGCAATTTTTTGCTGTCAATCCTGGGAGGGTTTTCATGTGGCTGTGGATGAGGTTACCTCCTCTACCCTCGGTAGTTTAACATGGGTGAGATATGACCATCTTCAATGGGGACATCAACATCAAGATATGCACAACAAACGGCTATCACTATGTGCAATGATATTGGTGTTAAGTGGGGGTAAGGTTGGTTTCAGTACAAGTACCAATATCAATATCAATATACCAGTAGTACCGCACAAGGCGGTGGCGGAAGTTTCAAAAATAGGAAACCTATAGGAGAGCTTGGTTGTTGTGAATGAGGGATGGCAGAGCGAAGCCACTGATTGACCGAAAGGTGCTTGAGGTCTCCTCTCTTTCTCTCTCTTTCTCTGACTATCTACTTACCTACCAGCCTATCTTCTATGTATCTATCTATCTATCGATCTATCTATCTCTCTCTTTCTCTCTTTTATCTAATTACCTATCTACCTATCTACCTATCTATCTACCTATCTACCCATCTATCTATCTATCTATCTATCTATCTCTCTCTCCCTTTCATCTGTCTATCTGTCTAGCTGTCTACCTGTCTGACTATCTATCTATCTCTCTCTCTCTCTCTCTCCCTTTCATCTGTCTATCTGTCTAGCTGTCTACCTGTCTGACTATCTATCTATCTATCTATCTATCTATCTATCTATCTATCTATCTATCTCTCCATCTATCGATCTATGGTTGTTGTAGTTGTAGTTGTTGTGGTTGGTGTTGTTGTTGTTGTTGTTGCTGTTGTCGTCGAAGTTAGGGTAGTTAAGTTAGTGAAGTTAGTTAAGTTAGTCAAGTTAGTTAAGTTAATCAGTGTCTACTTTTTCGACATCTTCACGTCAAAAAAGGCTCAAAACCCTCAGTTTTTTACACTTTTGACTTCGAAATGTGCTTCGCGCCACAACGGCGTACACTTTTTCGACACTTTTTCGACATCTGAACCTCCAAAAGTGGTCCGAGACCGCCAGTTTTTAACACTTTTGACTTCGAAATGTGCTTCGCGCCACAACGGCGTGCACTTTTTCGACATCTCAACTTCCAAAAGTGGTCCGAGAATGGTGTGTTTTGTACATTTTGACTTGGAAATGTGCTTCGCGCCACAACGGCGTGCACTTTTTCAACATCTTAACTTCCAAAAGTGGTCCGAGCATGGTGTGTTTTGTACATTTTGACTTGGAAATGTGCTTCGCGCCACAACGGCGTGCACTTTTTCAACATCTTAACTTCCAAAAGTGGTCCGGACCTGGTGTGTTTTGTACATTTTGACTTGGAAATGTGCTTCGCGCCACAACGGCGTGCACTTTTTCGACATCTCAACTTCCAAAAGTGGTCCGACCATGGTGTGTTTTGTACATTTTGACTTGGAAATGTGCTTCGCGCCACAACGCGTGCAATTTTTCATCTCTCCTCTGGCCAGCTGGCTCCGCACCCGCCGCTTTAGCGAGCCTACTTTTCGACTCTCCGGAGCCACAAATCATTGGAAAAACACAGTGTTTCGCGACTTTCCTACCTTTTCGCGCATCTGCATCTTCTTTCTTCTGACTCTTTCTCTTCTACTCTTCTCTCTTCTAATCTTTCTCTTCTCTCTGCCTCTGCCCTACTCTGCTTTTCATCTGTCCATATTGTCGGAAGTTTGACTTCTAAACTTCCTTCGATAACTGGTTGGTGGTTTCAACCCCTCTGAAACATATTAGTCAAATGGGATTATTATTCCCAGTACATGGGACGATAAAATTCATGTTCCAAACCACCAACCAGCTAAAAATATGCACAAAAACACCTTTACATGACATCAATTGCTGTCGATCTTTCATGATATCTATAGGTCATCCCCAAATAGGAACAGTGAATCCCCATCGAAAATTTGATCCTGATTGACAGAATTTACTTTTAGAAGTCCCGAAAAAATGATTTCGCAAATTCTACTATATAAAATGATAATGGGGCATGCCATACTTTTAGAAATCCCTATTGATGGCATTTAGACTTTAATTTTCCATCATTCATATCATTAATATACCATCATTACCAAAAAACATAGTAATCCAAACAATTACCACTATTTTCCTGATTTTCCATGCACTTTGGGGACGGCGACATACTTTTTTTCTCCACCGTCGCCGTCACGACGCAACGATCCAACGGTGACGATCTCCGGCCTCCAAGTGGTGTCGGATCTGCGGGGACAGGCGTTCCAAGTCCTGGGGCAATGAAGTCCCTAGAAAAAATAGGCGATTTCCCATAAAAAACACCAACCAAGCATTTGAATTTAGGGGATTTGAATAGGGATTAGCCATAAAAGCCATAAAACAAGCATGGTCAAAAGTTGATTCAACGATCAAACATGAGGATTATCATTGGGAAATCCATCAGTTTGCCAATTTTGAATATCGATGCCCTGAACATTATGGCATATTACCATAGTGATTATTAATCCATTATGGATCCATATTACCATAGTGATCATAACATTGCCAATCAGCCAGATGCCCTGCAAAAAATGACTAAAATTCTTTGCTGGTTAGTAAGTAGATATTCCCATACCAAAAGACTAGTTAGGATTAAAGTATCCATGTAAGATTGACCTAGCAATTTGGCAATAATCTCAAACAATCTTAAACCGTATTTGAAAGTTGCCCTCTGCAATCAAACGTAGCAATCGGAAACCCTGTTTCTCGGCAGAAATGGTGAAGGATCAGGGAACCGGAAATACCCAAAACTCCTGATTTCAGCTACTAAAATGGTTCCCTCTCATGAAATTTTCCGTGCTTAATAACTAAACTGCGGTTGAACAATGGATAAATCATGTTATAGGAAAATCCATTTTCAAAACTGCGGTTGATACTATTCTGCGGTTAAATAATGGTTTTCGGACAATTCGGGGTTGACATTTAAGGATTGCATTCCATTTTCCACAAAAAGAATCCAAGCGTATCTGCATGACATATCATGCGGATGGCGACAAAGCCATCAAAGCCATGTCTTGGTGTACAAAAAACAACAAACAGATAGTCGAAACAAGAAGAAACAAGAAATCAGGATGGGAAACAATCGATATATTAACCAATATGAAAACCACTATTAAGCATCATTAACCACCATTATGCACCATTCACCACTATTTTTTTTATCCATCCCAGAGTTCCATCGAAAAAATGGCCGGACTTCAGGTGACTTCAGCCCCCATTTTTTGGGCGCCTGCACCCAGGGGACCGCTGCGTTGCACCACCAGGGCTGGGAGGAGAGCTCTCGCAGGAAGCAAAGTGGTCGTTGCCTGAGGTGATCATCCAAAGCATCAAAAATCCATGTTTTTCATAGGAAAATCATCAACTCCATGGAAGAAAAATCAATTGCTGTTAGGCTATTACTGTTTTTTTTCCACAGGAAAAACATCAAACCGATGGAATTGATGGCATTTTGGGCTGTCCACTGTTTTATGGAACCACGTTTTTCTCATGCTTCGATGTCGATACCCTGAAACAATTCATTCATTTTTTTGCAGGGTATGGGTGACATCAGTCGGCTCACCCTAATATCCCCACTCTGTTACATAACTACCATTGTTAATGGGAAAACTATGGAAAACCACCATTTTGAATGGGAAAACGCACTATTTCAATGGCCATGTTCAATAGCTATGTTAAATTACACACATATCTGACATTTTGGGTAAGCATCCGGCCATGTGATGCCCTACATTGCCATAAACTTTGCTTCGTAAATCCATCCAACTACAGAAGCATCCACCATAAACCCTAGAAAGGAAGATAAACATCCCTGAAGATAGGAACCTAACTTGCAAGCATCCACCAACTACAGGTTGCTGATCTACCTGACGACTGGGGCATCACTTTGTGAAAACCGTTTTGCTGTTAGGCATCCCTGCGGTTCATGCGGTTCATCGGTGGATGTAGTTTGTGCTGCGCCTTTGGATTTTCATGACAGATTCCAGTGGCTGAACATTAACATGGTAACCAAACAAAGAAAACTGCCCAGTGACGCTCAAGAGAACCTTGAGAAAACAATCCAAATGACATGGTCCGAGGGTTTTTCAAGTTCTTCACCATGTTTATCCACCATCTGGTAATTTAACATGGCTATTGAAAATGGCCATTGAAATAGTGAGTTTTCCCATTAAAAATGGTGACTTCCCACAGTTATGTAAAAGTTTACCAGAGGGTAACAACCACGGGAAACCAAGGTGTGGAACCCTGCGCATCTGCCGGAACTTCTCCACTGTCGCTGCCGCTAGCCGTCATCCACGTGTTTGGGAACAGTCTCAGTGTGTCTCAAGCCGGTTCCCAGCATTGATGGTTTCTTGGGTCCGGATCATGCAGGGCCTGATGCCAACTGACATGATCCGACCAGTTCTTCAGATACATCCCAGTTTCTACCTGGTAACAGATAGTGCCTGAAGAGATGCAGAATGAATCCTTGCAGGTGCTGGATCCATTGGACCGCGTTCCTGTGTTGTTGAAAAATGGACCCCAAGATATACTGATTGGCTATGTTGAATGGGGACCTATTGGTTTCAGGGTGGCCGAATTTTCAGCACCCCGAAAAAACATGTCAAGAATAGCAACTGCTTCAGAATGGTTCCTACATGCATAATTAGAAACTAGTTGATACATAGATTGTGATTATAATAAGGGTGGTTAAACTCCACTAAGCTGACATAGATGTGGATAACTACATATCTGCAGACCATTTTCCTCGGGAAAAGATGGGTTTCATTTTCCAGATCCATTCTCCATGTTCCTGTGCTTGGTTCCCATTTGATAGTTAAAAAATAGCTAACCGCAGCCAAAAAGATACACCATCAAAATCATTAAAAGCCAAACATTTCGACTTTTCGTGACCTGAAACCATCAGATTTGGCACTTGCCTTTTCGCCACCATTTCCCTTTCCTCGGCGCCTTCGGTCGGTCCACACATCGGCCTCTACAATGGCATCGGCCACTGCCTGCTGAAGAGCTTCCAAGTCTTTGGCCTAGCAGCTGATGGTCGCTGATGGTCGCTGAGTAGGGTCAAACTCCAATGTTTTGCGACTGAACATAGGGAACTATCATGGGAGAGTATTGAGATAATCATGGCTATTCATGGATTTACCATGGATTTACCATGATTTTCCTGGGTGTGATGGATATTGATACGGGTATGGGTCAAAATTAGGTACCCCAATAATTGGATGGTTAATACTAAACTAGGCATTCACATCTGTGGTCCCCTAGGTCTTCCATTTTGACCTACATCCATACTTATACCGTATACCCTCGAGTAGTTTTTTGCATAACTATGGGACATCACCGTATCTTCCATAGGCCATGGAACTCAATGGGCCATTGGGCCATGGCTTCCAGAGCTGTTGAATTACCAGATGGTCTATGTGTTGATAGGAAATTCATATACCCTCTGGTTATGTCAAAATAGCTATTGAAAATGGCCATTGAAATAGTGAGTTTTCCCAGCTACAAAATGGTGATTTTCCATAGTTATGTAAACGTTTACCAGAGGGTACCATCATATACCATCATATACCATCATATACCATCATATACCATCTGGGATATTTATGACCTATACCCGCATATTTATGGCTTCCTGCCATGTGTTGATAGGAAACTTTGCTGCGGGGATGGGGATACGACCGAAACCGTCTGGGGCCAGCAATTCACAGCCATTCGCATTCGCGAGCGAATGCTTCAGCCAGTCACAGCCGTTTGGCAGGTACCCAACCAAGGTAGAGCCATGCCGAACATCATGGCATACCATGGCATACCATGGCGAAGTGTCTGAAAATTGAGGGCTAACCCTGCACTGGGGTTTGAATCTTCAGTTTCATGAATATTTCAAGACCATTGTGGTACGGCATATAGAATTTTACAAAGCCACATGGGCGGCCTGTGCCATGGCTCCCCTGGTCAATTTACATGGGATTCATAGGCCGAAATATCCCACTAAGGGGACATGGAACAGGCCGTAGCCTTCCACTTTTGGATTGAAACTGCCCACATCTATCATGTATGATCAATATCCATTCACATCTGTCAAGGTCTTTCAATATCCATGTTTTTTTTTACTTGACATTGACATCTACTATCTAATCTTCATCAAGATCCATCCAAGGTGAGGCTCCCCAGTGAAAAAAGTTCTGATGAAGATAACCCAATCTGGTGTACGTACCCGGCCTGGTAAAGAAACGAATTTGCTATTGAAAATGGTGATAGAAATAGTGGATTTATCCAGCTACAAAATGGTGGTTTGCCATAGTTATGTAACAGTTTACCAGGCCGGGTATATACCTATTAAACCCATATGATAGTTGATTTTCCCAGCTATAAACCTTCATTTTTATGGGCATGTTCCATTAAATCACACTATGGACTTGCATCTATAAACCCAAATGCCTCCTCCAACGCGAGGCACAATGCCACATGCGCCTAGGATTTTTTTAATGGGCACATCCGAAGCTGGTCGGTGGAACTCGAGATATCAACCATCAAAACATGGAGGTAACCAGGAAAACCATGAAGGTTTATAGCTGGGAAAACCATAGGAAAACCATAGGAAAATGGAGGTTATACCCTCTGGTTATTGAACATAGCCATGGAAAATCACCATGCTATTCATAGGTAAACCATCTATTTAATCTATTTCTATGGGCCATCTATACCATGGCGAACTGTGAATGTCATAACCAGAGGGTAGCTAAAAACTGAATATTTACGTGGGATCGGATAGAATGGGAAAATGGACATCTTGGTGCAATCTGGTGCAATCACCAATTGGGAAGACATGGAGATTTTTTATAGGGGCTAAAAATCAGAAACATAAGCATCATCAAACCAACCTTTTTATGGGGGTAGAACAAAATCATTGGGGTACTGGGCGAGGCCCGGGATGACACTTCTATGATCTCAATGGATTGGTTTTTGTTGGATCATGGAAGATCTACTGGAGAAATCGAGGAGAGGAGAAATCAGGTTTTTCTGCATCTTGCCCAAAACATTGAGAACTGGCGGGAAAGTTCCCAACATTCAGCCAGCATTTTATGATAGTCATTGGATCATAATATTCATAACACCGGGATGTTTTTCTAGATATGCCAGATAAAAATATCTGGCTTAGTAGTCAAACAGGGGGGGAAATCACCGATGAATACGGCTGAGACTTTTGTTCATGAACATCCCAAGGTCCCAAGACCTAGAGGAGCGAATTTTTAAAAATAACCCTTTTGATCGGTTCCCCATATGAAGATGTTTAAATAGGTAGGTTGTACCCCCCAAATCACCCAAGTCATGGCCAAAACCCAATGCCTTCCCTTTTCAACATGACCAACAACTCGAATGATACCTTGGGGTCTCCCTATTTTAAGAATTTTGCCCATCCCCAAATTCGATGATTTTAACATGGACACATCTTAAAATCCATGGCTGGTTGGTGGTTGAAGCACCTACCCCTCTGAAAAATGATGGACTGAAAGTCAATTGGGATGATTAGACATTCTCAACTGAATGGAAAGTCATAATCCATTCATGTTCCAAACCACCAACCAAATATCTCATTAACCATTATTAACCAATATTAACCATCATTAACCATCATTAACCATTATTATCCACCATTAACCAGTTCAATCCTCTATGACTCACCATTTTCGAAAACCTGGAGATTTCCACCCGGCGAATCACAAAAAGGCTCGCTCCACGACTGTCGGGACCGCGGCCTGTCGGGACTCTGGCTTTGCCTTCACAGCTTCGCGCAGGTACCTGCGAAGCTAAGAATCAGACATATCCGTGGAGAAAATACCATTGGACATATCATCCAGTAAACTAAGTAAACATACTGAAAACTACCTATGGACACCTGGACACCATAGTTATTTCCAATAATGGATGTTTCGGAAAAGATTGTACTACCCTGGAATAACAATACTTCCAGGTGGACATATCCATTGGAACTAGTGGAAAGATCATCCAGTCATGTGCTGACCCCTAAACCCAATAAACCATCCCTAATATCACCATAAATGGATCGGTTATCAAATCATTCCCAAATGATATATTTATTATTGAGCTTACCAAATTACTTCCCCATTAAAACATAGCCAATATGCTTAAATTTCGTGGGGAGTTTTTTGATGACACCAATCTTTGAAACCACTTGAACCATACTTGTCCGACCTGTCCAACGTTCCAACGTTCGCGCAGAATATTTTCTGGAGCCGGATCTCCAGTAAGGTTCCGGGAAAAAGGGGCACGTGATGGCGTTGTCGGCATCGTGCTCTGCCAGAAACAGTAAACGCCTGCCAAGACGGCTCATTTCAGCCTCCAATTTCGTAGCCAAATAGTTCTGTAACTTGTACTGCTCGGATTGAAATTAGATGACATTAGGCTATACAAAGTCCGAAATTCTGGCTTAAGATACAGCTCTTTGTGTATCACCACATACCAAGCTTTCCTGGGAACTCCAATGTGGATGATCAAGCCATAGGATTACCAGACTGGGCATACTGAATCGCTCAGCGGAACAACACAATTTATTGGCGATTGCACCCATTGTGCGCCAAATTTTGGGTTGTCATTGAATTTCCGAGCTTTGTTTTTGCATCTAGTCTCTTTGGCCAGTATCGGCAGTATCGGATTGAAAGTTCTTGATTCTGGTGATGTCTGCCCCATGATTTCCAGGCGCTGTGGATGGTTGGAAGAAATCCTTCACCACTTGGGAACTATGAATTAGCTATGAAACACTGTAAATCATGGGATTATCATGGGCAAACCACCTATTAACTGGTGCAGGAGTTCGCAACCATCTACAGTATCTCCTCTTGGTGAGCCAGTACTTGCCCGTGGCCCCATTGGGAACCGCAGGAAGGGCGTTCTCTTGGAGGTTAGCGACGAAAACGGCTTCGTTAATAGGTGTCCCCTTCTATGGATTCAAAAAAACAACAACCCCAATAGTAAACACCAGGTATTCCGAACTATTGAAGAAACATAAGCCCCCAAAAAAACAATGTAGCTAATGGGGTCTACTGTATTGCGGCTTATGCTTCTACACAATAAGCCCCAAAAACTAAATATTATGGCTAGACCCCATAATTCAACCGTTCATAGCCAATCTGCTCGGGCGCCTGGCTCGCAAGGTGACGTCGTCGATTTCTGCCAGGCCCGCGCGGAACCTGACTGCAATCTGTCGCCAATCAGTACAAATCTTTTTTGGAATAGTGATTTCATATCACTGTGTCACTGTGACTATCAGATATCAACATATATATATACATAATAATATGTAATAATTATATTTATATATATTATATATATATAATAAGTATATACAACCAATAATATGAATATTACATATACAGGTACATAAATGACATGTGCTTAGGATGGCGTCCCAATCATTCGGATCTTATTCATCGGGACGTTTTCTTGGGCGATGGAGCTCAGCTGTGTAAAAACGGCCATCTGGGGGTTCATGGTAAACAACCCCACCAAAAAATAGATAAACATAGTACATTACTATGGAATATATATATATATAGAGTGTCTATTCCATTTCTATTCCAGGGTATATTCAATCATCAACCTCGCTTCCATGGTTCGTGAGAAGGCGGTGAATCCCAATGCCAAAGCTTGTCCCGAAATTCCTCGCTGAGTGCTGAAGGACTTTGGCAGAAATGTCTCGCGATCTCCGTTGAAGAAGGCCTTCACCCCTCAGAGCTTTGGCAGAGCTTGGTGCTTGTTGGGCCATGTGAAAAATGTGAGAATCAATTGGTAAAAATGTGGAAAATGTCATTCTAAGGGTCGCAACACATCTTAATCTATTTGAACCTATCTGAGAACTGTGGATACCACAATTCATCATCATTCCATATCATATTTCTGTTTGTTGCCTCCATCCTATTTTTGTAAGTCTCGCCCCTCATTTCTTTGTCCTAGGACACATTATCATAATATTGCCCACATAACAACGATCCCTGGAATGTTTCATCAAGGACCCTAGGTTCCAAGCAATGTTAATGCTGTTAATGGACAAATCGACTGTAGCTTCTTTTCTCATAGGTTGCGCAGCGACTGCGCACCAACAAAATGAGCGAACGAAAGGGCGAAAGTTCGATAAGTCCGATATCCATAAACAGACTGAAACATACTGAAACTAGATGGCCATGGGCCATGGTTCATAGTTGCCCTTGATCTGCCAATCCGTCTGGATCCATTGTCTGTGTGCAACCGAAGGCACCTTCGGCCCATGCCATGAACTGGCAAATTCCCAGCCGGTTTCTTGAAACTTGTTGAATCTCACAGTTTGACGTCATCAAATGATCAATTCCAGTAAGAACATGTAAGAACATCATCCTTCAACTCGCTTTTCCCCAGTGTTTTTAAACAGCAGTCTATGCTATGATTCACGCATCCTTGCAAGCCATTTCCATCCTTTCCAATGTGTCCATTGTTAATGGCAAATCATTTTTAGATGTGCTAAATATGTCATTGATGCTATGGCTGATTGTAGCTTTGCATTCACCGGTGAAATCTTGGACACATCGGAGCGAGGCAAGTGAAGAGAGATGGAACCGGGAGCGGAGGAAATGATTTGAAATGATATATCCAAAATACCACATTATGGTAACATTACTGAAATGAAGGAATGTAATGAAATGCGCTGAAATGATGATCAAATTACCTTCAAACATGACATGTGATATATCCAAAACCCACATCCACTCAAAGCAACTCAGGGTTGTACCAATACGGAAATGCCAAAATTCATTTTCCTTCGCCGCTATTTGTTGTAACGTAGGTCCATGTGACATGTCGCAACGTTTCGGACCCCTGCTTTTTAACAGCTGTTAATCGTTTGGAACCAGAAACAGGTACTAATGCTCAGCACTTTGACTGGCATATCTCAGCATGTGCTGAGCTTGTAACGGCGCTTTGCTATGAACAGCCACAGCCGCACCGAATGCACTCTCCAAAAATTACATTCGGCTGCAGCGCTTGGTTGGAACCAACAGCAACATGGCCCTAGAGTTCGATATGTATATTCCTTGGGCTATGGTTTTAGAAACACACCTGCATCCGGCAAACAAAATCCAACAAAAAAACAACTTTAACACATGGATCCTAGGCCGTTTCCGAAACGCGATGGCAGTCTCATTTTGTCAGCCCTTTGTTTTTTGTCTTCTGGCTCCGTCGCTGGTCCAGCGGCGCAGACGTTGCGTACCGCTGGGGAACGAGTTTAAACATTTCCAAATACCGTCCACATCCACTTCACGGGTCAGAGACCCTAACACGGCGACGTGATGGATAGGATAGGCCGGCGAATGGGGGAGGTCGGGGCTGATCAACTTCCGATGGATGGTACTACGATGTGCGGGCCCCATCGGATGCACTTATTTCAAAAGCATATTCCCTACCTGGGGATATCCTATAGCTGGGGTATTTCACATGCTTATATCACTTTTATCGCCACTTCTACCCTCTGGTAAACTGTTACATAACGAACTGGAAAGATCCACCATTTTGTAGCTGGGTAAATCAACTATTTCGACTGGGCCATGGCTTCCAGTTCGCAAACGGTAACAGATTACCAGAGTGTAAATGGAACTGCTTTCCCCATAGCAATTGCCTTGATCCAATGAGGATCTCGGTGAATTTCCAAGTCATCAAAGTGATTGGATTCTCCGGCAATTTGCGGCTGTGGTGAAGTAATACCAGAACAATATTCATAATTAAATAGGATGATAGTGGTTAATAATGGTTAATAGTGGGTAATAATGGTTAATGATGGTTAATGATGGTTAATAATTAAATGAAGTCCTGGTTGGTGGTTGAACCACCAACCCCTCTAAAAAATGATGGAGTGAAAGTCAGTTGGGATGATTAGACATTCCCAATTAATATGGGAAAGTCATAATCCATTCATGTTCCAAACCACCAACGAAATATCTCATTAACCATTATTAACCACTATTAACCACTATTAACCACTATTAACCGCTATTAACCATTATTGGTGGAGTGGTTGATTGTATATCATTGTTCCAAAAGCACCAGAGTCATACGGGTGATCTCCCGATTTTTGCAAAGTTTTTTTCCCAGTTTTCACCTCGTCCCGACTTTGATAATTATCTGATAGTGTGTAATTCCCATTACACAATCAACCAGATTATATAACCGAACCTTTTCGGACGATTTATCTCTCAAACTTCGGTAGTTGAACACAACTTTTGGCAAAATCACGAGGTTTCACACATTGATAACCATTATTAACCACTATTGGTGCAATGTTTCACACATTTTTCGGACGATGTCCTGCTATTGCTTTACCGCAACGGTACCAGCCACGTGTGGTGCCTCGCCTTGGTCACGGTGTTCAGCTCAGCGGAAAGGCTGGCGCGGAAGCCGGAATTTGAACATCAAAAACCATGAAACTGGGAGGATTTCGGCAACACATATAACACTTTTAGCATCAACTATGGGTACTGGAATGAAACGGTGATTCTCCGTGGTTTTCCTCACAGTAATCCCAATCATCCAGGCTGCTGGTCATAGGAACATCCAAATAGTCTTTGCTGCAGCAAAGTTCTGGGTGGATTTTGCTAGTCACTGCTAGTCAACAGTCATAGTCTAGATTCTTGGTGTGAAGGTTCTGAAGGCATCTAACAAAAAATCTACCATTGGTTCTGCCTGCGCAAAGCCTACAGCACCTCTTAAGGTTTTGCCACCAAAAAAAGGCAAGACCCAGCACGAGCACGGGCGTCTAGTCCTACGTCAAGATGTGAAACCTTGTGAAGATAGACACCGCCAGGAGAAAACTAGCCTAATGTGGTTCTCAGCTAAACATTTCCCGAATCTGGGAAAACATTTTTCGCCAGAGGTGAGCCAAAAAAGGTTTATGACGTTCGACCTGCGACCTTTTTCAGTTGTACCCATTGGTCCAGCAGCTGCAGGTCGCCCAAACGAGCCGTTGGACACCCAGAAGCCCCGCTTCTTCTTATCCTCAGAGGATCAACATGATCAACATCAACATCTGGGGACCAAACTTTGACCACAGCCAGCTACACATGATCTGTAGATCCTTCAAAGGTGGAAAATCATCATGCTATTAGTACCTGTGAATGGCTGTGGAAAACCATCATTTTTAATACTTTCCATTCGCAGAACTTGGTATTGCCAAAGTTGGTGAAAAGAATGGAATTTAGATACAACTACCATCTGGTTATTTAACTAACAGTTTGCCATGGAAAGATCCATCATGCTATTAATAAGTAAACCATCTATTTCAATGGGCCATTTCCCATGGCTATGTTAGTCATAACCAGAGGGTAACCCTCGTCACGACTACACTGGTCATCTTGGATCCAGCAGTCCGCGATGCCGCGATGGCATCAGCAAGGTGAGGTAACGACACCTACCCACTCCTGGTAGGGCAATCTTAGAACACTGGTTGGTTAATGGTTAATAATGGTTAATAGTGGTTTTCTTGTGGTTAATGATGGTTAATCATTGATTAATTATGGCTGGTTGGTGGTATACCTACCCTTCTGAAAAATGATGGAGTGAAAGTCAGTTGGGATGATGACATTCCCAATATGATGGGAAAAATGAAATTCATGTTCCAAACCACCAACCAGATAAGTTTGGGATGGCACATATTCTTTGCGTTGATTGTTGGTTGAACCACCCCAAAACATATGAAAGTCCGAATGGGGGTTGCAATGCTGAATTAAATTGACAATAGGGTCCCCAAATTTAATGCTTGATTATCATCTTTTCCCATGCGCTTTTCTCCCGTTAATATCGATTCTATTCCCTGTTACAATCCCCTTACCGTCCCATTTAAATCCCGTATTTTTCCATCATGTTCCAATATGTTCCATTCATTGGCAATCTTTGCCCTTTTTTTCAATGATATTTCTCATCAATTCTCAATATTTTCCATTCATTGAGAATTTTTTGTCTCTACCTTTCCATGATATTTCCCACTAATTCCAAATATTTTCCATTCATTGTGTGGCTGGTTTGATGGCTAAATTCCAATTGAACGCCATTCATCTCCTGGTCATTTGGATCCTCTATCAAACCCGAACTGTCGTCCCTTCAAAAACTGCCTGTTGAAGAACGGGATTCCTAGTGGATTTCTGATCATCCCTGTATAAACGGTAGTATAATTAATCCCCAAACTCATCAATCGCCACTGAAACAAATCACATCCCCATATTTTGAAGCCTCATTATCATCAACCATCATTTAATGATGGTTAACCGTTAACCTCTATAAATGATGGTTAAACTAACCATATAAGTCATAACCCGGCCATAGTTTTAAGGTGAAATCCCCAATCATGAAACCCGGCCAGGGCTGGATCCAGCGAGTGTCTAAACCGCTCTGCTGCAGCGTCTTCTGTGCGGTCTTTGCCTGAAGAATGCTGAAGATATGTCGAATCGTGGACTTAAGTTTGTTCTAATGATTCTAATGTAATTCCTCGGGTTCCTATATTATATGTATGTATTTGTATGTATGTATGGATGGATGGATAGATGGATGGATGTAGATAGGTAGGTAGGTATGTATGTATGTAAGTATGTATGTATGTAAGTATGTAAGTATGTAGGTATGTAAGTATGTAAGTATGTAAGTATGTAAGTATGTAAGAATGTAAGTATGTAAGTAAGTAAGTAAGTATGTATGTATGTATGTATGTGTGTATGTGTGTATGTGTGTATGTGTGTATGTATGTGTGTATGTGTGTATGTGTGTATGTGTGTATGTGTGCATGTGTGCATGTGTGTATGTGTATATGTATGTATGTATGGATGGATGGATGTAGGTAGGTAGGTAGGTAGGTATGTAAGTATGTAAGTATGTAAGTATGTAGGTATGTAGGTATGTAGGTATGTAAGTATGTAGGTATGTAAGTATGCAAGTATGTTAAGTATGTAAGTATGTAAGTAAGTAAGTGTGTAAGTATGTAAGTAAGTAAGTATGTATGTAAGTATGTATGTAAGTATGTAAGTATGTAAGTATGTAAGTATGTATGTATGTATGTATGTATGTATGTATGGCATGCATGGTATGCGTGGTATGCATCGTATGCATCGTATGCATGGTATTCATGATATGGTATGGTATGGGATGGCATGGCATGTATGTACGTATATTTCCAAACATTTTCAGTCAAGAATCATTTTTTTCGAAAGGTTAGATTCCAATGCAATGAAAATTGCAAGGAAAAACACACCAAGAACACGTAAGCATGAATTGGGGTCTAACAATGTGAACATGGAAAGACAATGATTTCAGCAGCAAATGATCTAAACAGGTGGATTTTCCGTATCTGGTGAAATTATTGCTGAATGCGTCTGACTTGGTACCCAGTTGGTATGCCAACCTGCCATGATAAGGTATGACGGTATGGCCCAACGGGAAACTATTTTGAGTATGTGGCTCCCCATTTTGAAGGTACTCCAAATGTTGGGCAAACCATTTGGGGTAGTTTTGTAGCAGTTTGTGGATCAAAATGGTATGGTACCATGCTAGCGAATATTGGAGATTGGTAATTATTGTCCCGACTGGGTACCCAATTTGGCTGGCATCCATGTTACAACAAGTATCGGAACAATGGTGGATATACTGCAGATAGCAATGTGCATGAAACGTTATGAACAAATTGTCCCTGTTAAACGGCTGAAACACATGGACGAACTCAGGCCATGAATATATGCAAAGTTCCAGGGTGTTTCGCGACATTTTCATGGTGAATATCTCAGTCGTTGCGTCACATTCATCCAATAGCTCAGATGTGCTGAAGACGATGATATTCCCACTTGTTGTGTGTTCTTCACATATCATATTTGGTTAGATGAGAAAATAAAGGTAAATCTGTTTAAAACACAACCCCATTTCACCCCGTTTATGGCTCAATATTGACACATTCACCGACTGACCAAAGTTGCCAACGTTTACCCCTACGCGTGGGTGTTCACATTAGCACCTCGTTTTCCGGCGGGATTTGTTTGGAAGTTTAAGATCTCAAACCAGATGGTCTGTCAAATCTATATTCCCAATTTTTGAGTGCTTCCCTCACAGGTGCTGATCTATGGCTTATCAAAGTAAATGTATCCAATCATCATGTACCGGTCTTGGTTAGTCGGATAGTGATATCCCTTTCTCTGTTTACTGTTTGTTAGTCCCATCGAATTATGTCTTTCATTGATGTGACAACCCTTCTGAATCTAATAAGTCCACAATGTAACGTCAAGCGGTGTTTTTTGGCCCTGGATTCGCTCAATTCATGGGTCAACATTCGCCTCCCCAAGATCCAACAATCAGAACCAGGAAAGCACCTAGTGGTTCAACTAACAGTCCATCTATTTTTGACCAATACCCTATATCAACTATATTACATGTTTTATCCTATATATACGTGTATATATATAAATACATATGATTGTATATGTATATGTATATGTCGCTGTAAAGCCACGGCCCTGGAGGCGTCCTCCTTCAGCAGCTCGTCGATCTCTGCCTCCATCCCTTTGGCGATCTCCCGCGCTTTGGCCTGGCGCTGCTGCGCTGGTTAAAGATGGAGAGTTTTCCAGTAAACGATGGATGGGTTTCCAGTAATAGATGCTCTATTTCAATATTATCCAAAAGATTATCTAATATGATATAGGATAATATTGGATAGATCATCTATTCGATGATTAACTATCAAAAAACTATCCAAAAACGATTCAGATGGTGAATATTTTCCAACAATAGATGAAAAGTAGTGAATATTCTTTTATATGATCCAATAATAGTTAAATCCAAATAGTATGAAGGACTCCAATCATCCAATAATAGTGAATATATGAGGTTTATAATGGGTGGTTTATAATGGAAAATCCTATGACAATGGAATGATAACTGGGGGTACCCCCATTTTAGGCAATATCCATATATATATATATATATCCATGACTTATCCATGCAATATTAATGCGCATATCTATGGAGTATCGTGTCAATGTTTGTTATGATAAATAAACATATGAGCTACTATCAACGTTGAGGGAATGTATGGACTATCTGGGTAATACATGCATATCATGGATTATCGTATACTGTAAATCTAAATGATATTTGATATGTGTTGCCAAACATGTGATATCATGTATTATGATTGAAGTTGAGGTGCTGTATGTTATATAACCAAATGTCCAGGCAGTAACCAGCAAATCGGCTATATGTGGTAAATCTGACATACAGCAATATTGGAAAATAGTATGCACTGGATTATGATAGTATTCAACTATGGAAAAAATACTCGCGGTTAATATGAGCTGCACACATGTATATATACACACTCTACACATATATACTATGTATGTGGATATCCCATGACACATGGTTTAAAAGCAAACAGGGTAAGATTTGTTTCACCAGCCCAAATAGGGAAACAATGGCTATGCAAAATGTGTTGACCCATACACCGCCAGTGAAGTATTCGATAATTCGATCATTCGATACGTTTTTTTTCTGCCAGATTCAAAACACTTTGACTGGAAGTAGCTTCAGCTTTTTTTCTGAGAAAAAACGGGTGACTTGGGGATTTTCCATTATAAACCATCCATTATAAACCTGGGTCATGACTGATGTCCCCATTTTTCACATCACCCAACCATGAATGGTATACCAACCATTAGGTATATGGTCTACTAGATGGCTACTATTTCAGGTGATGTCCTTTATATTCCCAAGTCATGGGACAGGCAAACCAACCATCCATTATAAACCTCTGGTGAACATACAAATAACTATGGAAAGATCCACCATTTTTCATGGGAAAATCCACTATTTCAATAGCCATTTTCCATTGCTATGTTAGTTCACCAGAGGGTAAACCTCCATTTTCCTATGGTTTTCCTATGGTTTTCCCATTAAAATTTCCCAAAATGGGACAGTTACCAACCATCCATTATAAAGCTCCTATCTTCAGGATTTTCTTGGGGGATTTTCCGGTGGATTTTGTCATCCGGTGACGCAACCTGGTTATGGAAGTCAACAGCTTGCGAACTGGAAAGCCATGGCCCCAGTCGAAATAGTTGGTATTTACCCATGAAAAATGGTGAATTTACCTATTGAACATGGTGATGTTCCATAGAAATAGTGGATTTACCCATGAAAAATGGTGAATTTACCTATTGAACATGGTGATGTTCCATAGAAATAGTGGATTTACCCATGAAAAATGGTGAATTTACATATTGAACATGGTGATGTTCCATAGAAATAGTGGATTTACCCATGACAAATGGTGAATTTACCTATTGAACATGGTGATGTTCCATAGAAATAGTGATGTTCCATAGAAATAGTGGATTTACCCATGAAAAAGGGTGAATTTACCTATTGAACATGGTGATGTTCCATAGAAATAGTGGATTTACCCATGAAAAATGGTGAATTTACCTATTGAACATGGTGATGTTCCATAGAAATAGTGGATTTACCAATGAAAAATGGTGAATTTACCTATTGAACATGGTGATGTTCCATAGAAATAGTGGATTTACCCATGAAACATGGTGAATTTACCTATTGAACATGGTGATGTTCCATAGAAATAGTGGATTTACCCATGAAACATGGTGAATTTACCTATTGAACATGGTGATGTTCCATAGAAATAGTGGATTTACCCATGAAAAATGGTGAATTTACCTATTGAACATGGTGATGTTCCATAGAAATAGTGGATTTACCCATGAAAAATGGTGAATTTACCTATTGAACATGGTGATGTTCCATAGAAATAGTGGGGATTTACCCATGAAAAATGGTGAATTTACCTATTGAACATGGTGATGTTCCATAGAAATAGTGGATTTACCCATGAAAAATGGTGAATTTACCTATTGAACATGGTGATGTTCCATAGAAATAGTGGGTATTTACCCATGAAAAATGGTGAATTTACCTATTGAACATGGTGATGTTCCATAGAAATAGTGGATTTACCCATGAAAAATGGTGAATTTACCTATTGAACATGGTGATGTTCCATAGAAATAGTGGATTTACCCATGAAAAATGGTGAATTTACCTATTGAACATGGTGATGTTCCATAGAAATAGTGGATTTACCCATGAAAAATGGTGAATTTACCTATTGAACATGGTGATGTTCCATAGAAATAGTGGATTTACCCATGAAAAATGGTGAATTTACCTATTGAACATGGTGATGTTCCATAGAAATAGTGGATTTACCCATGAAAAATGGTGAATTTACCTATTGAACATGGTGATGTTCCATAGAAATAGTGGATTTACCCATGAAAAATGGTGAATTTACCTATTGAACATGGTGATGTTCCATAGAAATAGTGGATTTACCCATGAAAAATGGTGAATTTACCTATTGAACATGGTGATGTTCCATAGAAATAGTGGATTTACCCATGAAAAATGGGGAATTTACCTATTGAACATGGTGATGTTCCATAGAAATAGTGGATTTACCCATGAAAAATGGTGAATTTACCTATTGAACATGGTGATGTTCCATAGAAATAGTGGATTTACCCATGAAAAATGGTGAATTTACCTATTGAACATGGTGATGTTCCATAGAAATAGTGGATTTACCCATGAAAAATGGTGAATTTACCTATTGAACATGGTGATGTTCCATAGAAATAGTGGATTTACCCATGAAAAATGGTGAATTTACCTATTGAACATGGTGATGTTCCATAGAAATAGTGGATTTACCCATGAAAAATGGTGAATTTACCTATTGAACATGGTGATGTTCCATAGAAATAGTGGATTTACCCATGAAAAATGGTGAATTTACCTATTGAACATGGTGATGTTCCATAGAAATAGTGGATTTACCCATGAAAAATGTTGTTATAAATGTACTATTGAAAAGGGTGCATTGGCTGGGCGTCCATGAAATAGTGGATTTACCAGAAAAAAATGGTGATTACTATTGAACATGGTGATGTTTCATAAGAAAAGTGGATTTACCATGAAAAAATGGTGATGTACCTATTGAACATGGTGATGTTCCATAGACATAGTGAGTTTTTACCCATGAAAAATGGTGAATTTACCTATTGAACATGGTGATGTTCCATAGAAATAGTGGATTTACCCATGAAAAATGGTGAATTTACCGATTGAACATGGTGATGTTCCATAGAAATAGTGGATTTACCCATGAAAAATGGTGAATTTACCTATTGAACATGGTGATGTTCCATAGAAATAGTGGATTTACCCATGAAAAATGGTGAATTTACCCATTGAACATGGTGATGTTCCATAGAAATAGTGGATTTACCCATGAAAAATGGTGATTTACCCATTGAACATGGTGATGTTCCATAGAAATAGTGGATTTACCCATGAAAAATGGTGAATTTACACATTGAACATGGTGATGTTCCATAGAAATAGTGGATTTACCCATGAAAAATGGTGAATTTACCTATTGAACATGGTGATGTTCCATAGAAATAGTGGATTTACCCATGAAAAATGGTGAATTTACCTATTGAACATGGTGATGTTCCATAGAAATAGTGGATTTACCCATGACAAATGGTGAATTTACCTATTGAACATGGTGATGTTCCATAGAAATAGTGGATTTACCCATGAAAAATGGTGAATTTACCTATTGAACATGGTGATGTTCCATAGAAATAGTGGATTTACCCATGAAAAATGGTGAATTTACCTATTGAACATGGTGATGTTCCATAGAAATAGTGGATTTACCCAGCTACAAAATGGTGGATCTTTCCAGTTCGTTATGTAACAGTTGACCAGGCCGGGTAGATGTACAATTTCCATATTTCCAGATTGATGTTGGTCTACCAATACATCTGGAAAAAGGGGACACCTGATTGAATGTTGATGGACCCAGGAAAATACCATCGAAAGAATTGAAAGCTATAAGAAACAGAAATTCTGTCATGTGCTTAGCGTGGGAAGGAAAGTCATTGTAAGTCTTCGTAGCTCCGAGTAGCTATTCATATTCGCAGCTTGAAACCTTGATCCAAAATGGAAGTATCATACCATACCATATCTTGTCATATCATATCACATCCCCATTTTTCAGGGC